GGAGGTTCGGGGGGGGAGGAACCAACGTCTCACTCGATCGGTCTCACTATCGATCTCAGTATCGGTCTCGCTCGATCGATCTCCCTCGATCGATCTCACAATCGATCTCACTCGATCTATCTCACAATTGATCTGACTATCGATCTCACAATCGATATCACAATCGATATCACAATCGATATCACATTCGGTCACACTCTCGATATCACTATCGATATCACAACCGCTCTCACAATCAACGTCATCATCATCATCAACAACGACATCAACATCAACATCATCATTACCAACATCATCATAATCGGGACACCGTCCTCATCATCAACACCAACATCATCATCATCACGGTCATCAACATCATCGGGACACCACCATCATCATCATCATCATCATCACCATCATCACAATCATCATCATCATCAGCATCATCATCATCAGCAACATCGGGACACAGTCATCGTCATCATCATCATCATCAGCAGCAGCATCATCATCGGGACACCATCATGATCACCATCGGTATCATCATCATCACCATCATCATCGGGACACCATCATCATCATCGCATCCTCATCAACTACATCATCATCAGCATCACCAACATCATCATCATCAGCATCATCATGGTCATCATCTGGGCACCATCATCATCATCATTACCAACAACAGCATCAACATCATCATCATCATCATCACAACCATCATCATCACCATCGGGACGCCATCATCATCAAGATCATCATCATCACCATCATAATAATCATCATCATCGGGACGCCATAATCGTCATCAACCTCGTCATCATCAACATCATCATCATCGGAACACAATCATAATCAGCATCATCAACATCAACATCATCATACTCATCATCATCGGGAAACCATCATCGTCATCATCATGATCATCAACATAATCATCATGATCATCATCATCCTCATCATCGGGGCACCATCAGCATCATCATCGTCGTCATCATCATCATCAGCAGCATCATCACCATCGGGACACCATCATCCTCATATCATCATCATCATCATCAGCAGCATCATCATCATCAGCAGCATCATCATCACCATCACCATCATCATCATCATCATCATCATCATCATCACCATCATCATCGCGGGACACCGCGGGACACCGGCGGGACACCGCGGGGCACCGCGGGACACCGCGGGACACCGCGGGACACCGGCGGGACACCGCGGGCCACCGGCCGCCCGGAAGGGAATCATTTGGTCCGGCCGCGCCTCAGCCACACGGGACTTGCGCGGGACACCGGCGGGACACGGCGGGCCACCGGCCGCCCGGTGGAGAATCATTCGGTCCGGCCGCGCCTCAGCCACAGGAGACTTTTTCTCGCCCGCCCACGCAGTTTCGCCTCGCCCGCCCGCACGGCACGCACGAACACGAAACCGAAATCGATTTCCCGGTAGGGGGGCTTTCCGTTCCACTTCGATCTCACCCCCTCACCTCCGATGTATCTAGAATTGCGAATTAATGTTTTCTGGTGGTGGGTATACATATACCACCATACAAAAGTATGGCATCGCGAGTTAATGTTTCTGTACATGTGTATGGGTCATGTTTACATGCGTACCGAATTGCGAAAATATAGCAATCCAGAGGAATAAGCTAAACTATTATGCTATCGGATTGTGCTCGTAGAAAAGATCAGAATCCAAAGCAAACGTATCCGGAGTCGGCATCGAGAACCAGATAGTAGTAATGCCTTAGTATCGACAAGTTCATACAATGTTCCGACATTTTTCCTCGAGAATGTGGTTTCCACCAGGACTAGTTTTCGAGAGCATCGAATTACCAGAAAAAATATTCGAAGTTCATGCTGTCGGCAAGTTTTCTGGAGATTACTGGGATCGGTCAGCCTACCAGAAACGTTCCGCCGTGTTTACGGAGGATTCGTACCAGCTTTGGGGCAGAATTGCGGCAGAAAGGGATCAAAAGGGATGTTGCTTACAAGTTTTTTCGTATGAACAGCTTTGATGAACATTGAATGTTCTGAATGATTTGCGCCTTGAACATAATGACGGTGCACGTCCAAATACATGTCCTTTCTTGTGGCATACGCAAATGTGTACGGATTTTGAAAAATATGAGATATATATCGCATGTATCTTTGTCTGGGTATGCGCATGCGCTCCGAATATCTGACCGTGTGTCCTTCTGGGCCAGCTTCACCATTGTTTCCATACCACGCGGATCTTCAAACGCACTATTGAGTTTGTATGTAGACATCATGTACACATTTTCCGTTGTTTCGCCCGTGTGCAATGTATCGACGATTGTGTTGAAGGTTTCGTTGGTTTATGTTCACGGGTTGTTTGGAGTATTTGAGACATCTCAACGTGCAATCTGCAACAAACACTCTTCTGAAACGGCGTCGTATCTTCATCTCGCCAGGAAGCCTTTCTTTTCGGGACAATGGGCTCTACAATTTTGTGTATTATTGTCGTACCAACCCTTCACAAGACGGGCCTTCATAATGGCGCCCTGGAGTGGAGGACGACGCCATGGAATCACGCCGCGCATCACGAAAAACATGTTGAGAAACAACACCATAGTCGAAGACCGCACCCTCTCCAACAGGGCGGACCGAAGGCGTGCGACAGAGGCTGGTTTGATGGAGTAGTTTAAGGAGAAGCAGAAACCAGATGGTGTTAGACTGCGCACCAATTTTAACGCAAGGAGATCACAGTCGACGGTATTTGCCAGTTTCAAGCATTGGTGAAGACCGCGAATTAAAATTTGAGTTTACATCAGGTACGGATGGAAATTCGCAACTAGTTAAAGCAGTTTCCATATGTACTTGCAAGTTTCAATGGTTGTTTCACGAATGACGGTCATTATCTTCAACACATGAGGCAGCATGTTTTTGGAGTGGCGGATTAATTCGATAGCAGTTGCACATTTAAGCGTACGCCCCATTACAGTTTTGTCCGATCCCGAGGGAAATCCAGAGATTCACCCCGACCAACCAGAATCCATTGTACACGAATTGTGGGGACCACGCGTTTGCGTTTGCTCTGTTTTTTTTCCTTGAAGAACAACATAAGAAACAACACAAAAAAAAGTGCAGTACGACGGCACCAGAAGCGTAGCACAAGAGGACGAAAGAAGGATTCCCGATGCAATTCGTATTGTTAGGTGTTTGGTGCAAACCAAATGTGCCGATGTTGCCAATGAAAGAAAATTTCGGACGAGACAGAAGAAGACCCCATTGAGCGAGCATCCGATTTGTTCTAACAGGCGAACCGGCAATACAAACGCAAAGAGTTAGCGACTTGATTTGATCACGATTTTGTTCGAATTGGCCCGAGCAGCGCACAGCCTCGATCTTCAAGCGTTGCATCTGGTGGATCAACCGTTTCGTATAATGTAATACTTGTTTGTATGCAGGAACGTTGCAGATGCAACCACATGCGGTTCATGCATACTGAATAGTGTTTGTTTTCGCCTGTAGATGTTCGATTTGCATGTCGATCCATGTCGTTATGTGTATGTTTCGTGCACTCTTGGTTTTAACGAAGTTTGCAATCTGACTTGTTCGCATTGACATTGTGTTGTTTGAAGTACCAAAGCGTATGCGAGCGAATCGGTTTGTGTTGTTGTTGTAATATGTTTGCGGAATGTTGGTGCATACATTACGCGTAGTAGATTGTGCACAATTGTGTCTTGTTGGTATGGAGGATTCATGTTTGACCTATTCTGTTTTATTTGAAGATTAGTTTTTGGACCCCGAAGCTCTGACGTTAGATGCGTTTGAGATTTGGTAGTGCAGCTTACTTTCTGGTATGGTAGAATTGAATGTTTCCAGTGTTTGTTTGTTGAGCAAGTTTGAGGGATTTGTTTGGTTACCAATGTGTTGTTTGTACTGTAATTTCTGTTTTAGTTCGAACGTGTAAGTTTCGATTTGGATTTGGGTTACGTAAATTCTTCGATGTTGAACAGACGGCTCATAAATTCGATTATTTGTCATTCTGGATGGGAAGGTTGAGTTGTTCATTCTCATATGGGTGGTGCCATCTTATATACAGTTCCACATTTTGTTATGGTTTTCATAGTTTTTGTTTGAGTCTGGATGTTGCGTGTGGTGTTCTGCTTCGCTTTGTTCGTGTTGTTTTGTGTGGTATTCCGATTCGATTTCGGATTGGTTCACATTGTGTTATGGTTGTTTAGTTGTTTTGTTCAGTACATTGCGTATTTAATAGCTTCGCATGTTCCAATTCAGTGGGATCGCGCATCAAGAAACCATCAACTTTTCGTCGGGGTATCCTGGGTTTCTTCGCTCTGCGCGCTGCGTGGTGACTTCCCGCAGCCGTTGAAGAAGCTGCCGCGTTCAGGGTGCTCTGGGCTTCCCTCACATGGGTTGGGTTTCTCGCGAGGGTTTCTTGCGGCCGCGCCCGCACGGTAGTGTTTAAGGTTCTGGGTCGGAGGTTCAGCCGTTTCATTTATATATACATATTGTGTTAACAAGTGAATTGTTTGCGTTGATTTCTAGTTCTTTTAGATTTCGATTCGAATTGTTATAAAATCATGTCCAGGTTATTTAGTCAGTGCGTTCCATAGATTGTGTGTTTTGCAGTGTTGCATTCTGCCACATTCTTAAGGTTGCATGTCAGAGTTATTATTTCATGGCAGTGTTATGGTTCGCGCTATTGTTCTTTATGTATTTAAAGTTTATTTCCGAATTGATAGATCATGTTCATTTTATTAGTTATTGTGGACAATAAGTTTCGTTTTCCACACTTCAGTGTGTTCAAGGAGCGTTCAAGGTTTTGTGTTAGAGTTTGATCATTATCTTCATTGTTGCAACGAAGACTTGTGTCTATATATATATATATACATAGATATATGTGTGTGGGCGTGGGCAAAATCCCGCTTCGCACCCTGAGGGGCCTTGGGCGAAGGGAGGCCCGCGCTCCTCACTGCGGCCACGCGCTCGACCTGTGAGCCGCGGGCGCACGCCGCGGCGGCGGATCGCCCTCCCCGGCGGCGAGCGCAGCGCGTCGCCCTCCGCGGCCGCGGCTTCGGCGCGGGCGTTGCAGCGGGAGATCCTGAGGTCGCCGGGCCCTCCCCGCCCTCCCAGGGTGCGGGGCGGGGCGAGGCGAGGTGCGCCGTGTGCGGCCGAGGAGGCCGACCCGCGGAGGGCAGGGTGCGCGGGGCGCGGCCCACGCATGTCGGGGGCGGAAAGGAGGGGGGTGATGACTAGGGGGGGGGGTGGATTTCATGGCGCGGGCCATGATTTTTCCTCAGATTTCATGGCGCCTCTTCTTATTTCATTACGTCCCAGGCCCCCCGCTGGGCCGCGCACATGCCGCCGGTCATGATTTGCACACCCCCCTCTTGGACACCACCCTCTTGGCCGCTCCCGAGCATGTCGCTCCTCGGTGCGAGGTCGGTGCGAAGTCAGGCGCACCTGCTCTCCAAACTCCGTCGAGTCGGGGGAGCGTGAGACTCGAGTGCCCCAGGATTCGGGTGCGCTGGCGTTTTCGACGAGCGCGTCTTGGGTTTGGACGGCCCGAGTTCTGTGGCATGGCTGCAGCGGCAGTGCGCGGCAGATTTCAGATTGAGTATCGTCACTTTCACGATGGCCACGCTGGGCCAAGCCGAGTCCCCCGATCGGCGCAATCCTTGCCTCCTCGGCCCATGCTTTGCCGTTGTCACTGGCCGCGCCCCGCTCGACAAGCGTCGGAACGGCCTTCCAAGGCATTTGCGTCCTTATCGTGCATCCTGATGATGCGGGCCGATTGTGAGGGGAAGGCCCAGTGCCTCCGGGTGTGCTCGTCGGTCCTCGGCGGTTTTTGTCCAGCCTCGCGGGATGCCCTCCGGCAGCTGTGTCTCGGCGAGGCCGTTCCGCGGGGTGCCCAGGGAGCGGTATCCCCGAGCTAAGGTGGGCACGTCCTTCTAGACGAGGAGTATTCAAGAATAGCGAAGACATAGTATGGGGACGATTTTTCGACTACGTTCGACAATTTTTGCACATCTTTGGATTGTGAAGGCCTGACGGCCGGTGCCGCCGATCCTGAAAGACATTGACGACGACCAGGAGGGGGAGGAGGAGGAGAAGGAGGAGGAGGAGGAGGCGGAAATAACGAGGCCGAGGAGGAGGACGAGGAGGAGGAGGAGGAGGAGGAGGAGGAGAATGAGGAGGCAAAAGACTCCCCCCTGGGACCCACCCCACTTGGGGAGGAGGACAGGAGGAGAACCGGCGTGGGAGCGGGGATAGGGAGGGGGAAGAGGACCCCCAGGGACGGATGCGTATCTGACTTCCCTCACCCCCCCTGGGACTCATCCCACCTGGGGATGAGGACCCGAGGAGGACCAGCGCGCCAGAGAGGACCCCCGGAGGCGATGCGAATTTGACCCCCCCCGCCCTTGGACCCCCCCCCCCCGCTGGGGAAGGGACAAAGGGAAGGGGTTTCCCTTTGACGAAATGAGGACGTGGATGGGATCCCCTCAAGCTGCGAACCTTCTCCCCGAACGAGGAAGGGTGCTCTCTCTCTCTCTCTCTCTCTATCTCTCCCCCGACGGGAGAGGAGGCTGGGAAGGAGGGGGGCGAAAGAAGGCTCCCCGTCGATGGGACCAGACAGACACCCCACACGCCGACAGGGTCGGCAGATTATGTTCGATGTTTCTTCCGGAATCCGCCTGCAGGAGGACATGCCCGACTTAGTCCAAGAGCCAGGCGTCGAGGTTCCTTCGGGCCGGACGACAGGGTGGTAAAGGAACGAGGGTTACGAAGATTGATGCATGCAGCTGCGATCGGCCCCGCCACTTGGCGGTCTCCTCGAGACGTTGCCGCTGGTGGCGCCGGGAGGCGCGGGGAGAAACAGCGACGTGAGCCGATTCCTTACCCCCGCCCCTTCACTGCCCCAAATTTTTCGCCCGACCCGAGGAGGAGGAGGAGGAGGAGGAGGAGGAGGAGGAGGAGGAGGAGGAGGAGGAGGAGGATGTGCAGAGGAGGAGGAGGAGGAGGAGGAGGAGGAGGAGGAGGAGGAGGAGAGGAGGAGGGAGGAGGAGGAGGGGAGGGAGGGAGGGCACGGGGAGGAGGAGGAGGAGAGGGGGAGGAAGGGAGGAGGCACGGGGAGGAGGAGGCGAAGGAGAAGGAGAAGGAGGAGGAGGAGAAGGAGGAGGAGGAGGCGAAGGAGGAGGAGGAGGAGGAGGAGGAGGAGGCGGAGGCGGAGGTGGAGGTGGAGGAGGAGAGGAGGAGGTGGACGGAGGAGGAGCAGGAGGAGGAGGGAGGAGGAGGAGGAGAGGGAGGAGGGAGGAGGAGGAGGAGGAGGAGTAGGAGGCGAGGGGGGAGAGCGGAGGAGGAGGAGAGAGGCGGAGGGCGGAGGAGGAAAGAAGGAGGAGGAGGAGGAGGAGGAGGAGGAGGAGGAGGGGGAGAACGAGGAGAAGGAGGAGGGGGAGGAGGAGGAGGAGGAGGAGGAGGAGGAGGAGGAGGAGGAGGAGGAGGAGGAGCGAGGTTCGAGGGGCGAGGGTCGAGGATACGCCTTTGGGGGCAGGATGGAGCTCAGGCATCGGGCCCCTCGAAGAGATCGGGACGGCCGGTATGTCGCCATGGTCAGGAGATGCAGGCCATTTGTGGGGCTCTTGGTGGCCATCAGGAACAAAAATGATTCGGGATGAAATTTTGCTCCTGGGGGGGCGAGTCGATCGGCGGTTCAAAGACGGGGTCCTGCGGGATGGGGCCCTAAGGACCAGAAGGGGTTCAAGGGTGGATTCATATTGTTTGGTGCACCTCGTCCTCAGGACCCCATGCCTCAGGACCCCATCTTTGAATCACCGAGTCGAGACGTTTGGGGCCCACCCATCGAACACATCGAGGCGCCAGGTGTCTGGGGAGGAGGGTGATCGAGCTTCGGTGATCGAGGGCCTCTCGCGCCTTTCTGGACCTCCTGGGCCGCCCTCGTCGCCGCGCCTGCATTCCCCTCGCCGAGCTTCTGGCCAGAGCGCAGCCTCGGGCCGTTCCAGAGGTCTCCCGGGGCTCCGTCTGCGGGGGGGGAAACAGTCGAGGTTCAAGAGACGGGTGTCAATCAAGCAGTGGCGAAGCGTCTTGGCTCGCCTATAGCCCTACCAAACAATGTTTGAAGAACCTGCTGTGGTTGCCACGAAATGTTCTTAGAACATTTCTGGCTGGGACTGTCTTGTTTTACACATCGGGTCTATCTTCTAAGAACATTGTTTTTGTTATTAGAACGTTTGGGGGTTCTAAGAAAATTTCGAGGTATGACTGTAGGAATGCCAGGACGGTCGGTCCCTGCTCAAGTCAATGCAGACGGGGGTCAGGCAGAGCGCCGGTTCTTGCACGATTCTGCGGAGCCAGGGTTACATTGACCCGGGCTTGGGTGCAGGATCCTGCAGGACCTTGCAAGGCCTGGCCGACCAGAGTTTGGGTTGAGCTGGGTCAGTGGATCCCCAGAACAGTGTTGGTCGCGACCGCGGAGACGAGGAGGAGGGAGGGGGAGGGAGGGGGGAGGAGGGAGAGGCCTGAGGCCTCCAGGTCCCGCCTTCTGGGGGATAAGAGGTGGAGGAGAAGACTATCGTTGATGCAAGCTGGATGTCCATTGTGTTTTTCCTCGATTCGGTCGCTGTTGCCCCGTTTTGGGTCCCGGGACCGTGAAATATACCTCCAGGGTGACCCCCCGGCAAGAACAGGGTTCGGGGACCAATTTTGAACGAGGAGTTGGAAGACTTCGGAGGAAAGGGGGGATAGAGCTTCTGAAGATTTGTTGAACCTTGTATTGGACGCGTCGAGGTAGTTTCAGGATTACTCTTGTACTATCATCAACTATGGAGAGATTGTGTCACGCGAGTTGTGAATGCATGCTGCTGCGTTTGCGCCTGCTCGTATGTGTGTGAGGTTAGACGGGAAAGGGAGATCAGGGATATGGAGGACGAGATGTTCGGGCAAGTACGCTGCAGGCGCAGACGGAGGAAAAAGGTAGAACTAATGAGGGAGGATTGATGATGAGGAGAAGAGGAGGAGCAGGAGTGAGAAAGAGGAGAGAAAGGGAGGAGGACTGAGAGGAGGAAGAGGTGGAGGACGAGGGCGAGGAAGTAGAAGAGGCGGGCGCTTGGCAGAGGCCGTTGCTCGGTTGGTGCGGCCTCCCGCTTTGTGCAAGCTGTTGCCTTGGCTTCTTTATCTGACCCTGGGAATATGATTTTCCTCGGGGGATTGCGCGGTGGCTGGCCCAGTCGTATGATCACCTTGGCTTAATCTTGAGAGTCCTGAGAGTCTTGGAAGATATAGGAGGGAGGCGGATGAGGCCAAGGACGAGGAGGCGGAGGACGAGAGGGAGGAGGACGAGGTGGATGAGTAGGAGGACCAAGAGCCAGAGAAAGAGTAAGAGGGATGGTGGACGAGGAGGACGAGACGGAGGATGGGAGGTGCAGGAAGGAGGTGCAGGAGGTGCAGGAGGAGGAGGAGGAGGAGGAGGAGGGAGGAGGAGGAGGAGGAGGAGGAGGAGGAGGAGGGAGGGGGAGGGGGAGGGGGGAGGGGGAGGGGGAGGGGGAGGGGGAGGAGGAGGAGAGGAGGAGAGGAGGAGAGGAGGAGGAGGAGGAGGAGGAGGAGGAGGAGGAGGAGGCGGGGCGTGAGGAGGAGGAGGAGGAAGGAAGGGAGGAGGGGAAGGAAGGAGAAGAGAGGAAGAGGAGGGGGAGGGGAGGGGGAGGGGGAGGAGGAGGAGGAGGAGGAGGAGGAGGAGGAGGAGGAGGAGGGGAGGAGGAGCGGAGGAGGAGGCGGAGGGGGAGGCGGAGGGGAGGGGAGGGGAGGGGGAGGGGGAAGGGGGAGGAGGAGGAGGAGAGGAGGGGAGGAGGAGGAGAAGGAGGAGGACGGAGGCGGAGGCGGAGGCGGAGGCGGAGGCGGAGGCGGAGGCGGAGGCGGAGGCGGAGGCGGAGGCGGAGGCGGAGGCGGAGGCGGAGGCGGAGGCGGAGGCGGAGGCGGAGGCGGAGGCGGAGGCGGAGGCGGAGGCGGAGGCGGAGGCGGAGGAGGCGGAGGCGGAGGCGGGGGCGGAGGCGGAGGCGGAGGCGGAGGCGGAGGCGGAGGCGGAGGCGGAGGCGGAGGCGGAGGCGGAGGCGGAGGAGGCGGAGGCGGAGGAGGAGGAGGCGGAGGAGGAGGAGGAGGAGGAGGAGGAGGAGTAGGAGGAGGCGGAGGAGGAGGAGGAGGAGGAGGAGGGGCCGACCCCAGGTCTCCGCCAAGGTCCCCCGTCCGCCGCGCCGAGCCTGCGGGTGCCCCCCCCCCCAATTCTCCCTCTCTTCGGAGGCTGCTACAATTAAGTCGGGCCTGTCCCCCTAACAGGGGGATTTTCGACAATCAAAAAAAGTCAAACATGTATTCAAAAATAGTCTGGGGACTTTTTTTATTATTGTTCTACCGTGTTGGGGTATGTTTGGTGTATGTTTTGTTTTTCGTCGAAAATCCCCGTAGGGGGACCGGCCCGACATAACGCTACAATCCCCACCTTGCTGAGTCGATTAGCGAACTGCCAGGTTTCGGCTCTCGAGAGAGCGCGTGCGGCCGCAACTTGCGCCAGGCCTGCGCGCCCGCCGCGCATGGTCCTGGGCCGTTTTCGCCACAGGGGTATTCTGCTAAAGGGGGCTGCTGTCCACCGCCGGTCTCCTCGGCCTCCCGGGCAGTCTCAGGGCCTCGCTGCTCCACTCTGCGCTTTTTGGGGGGCCTTCTCCCCTTGGACAGCGTCTGAGGCCTGAAATTTAGCTCTGACGGGGCGCTGGGGCCAAGAGACCCCAAGGGACATCCCACGAGACTCTCAGAACATCCACAACGATTCCATCGCACAGGCTCCCCGAGCTCTCCACATGCTGCCGCGCCCCCCGATAAGGGCATTGGCATTTTCCTTGGGCAACGTTCCTGTATGGGCTGGTGGGGTACGCGAAGCGTTGATGATTAACGAATCGCCCGTAGCGCGCTGCAGCAAATGTGGCCTGTGCACCCAGTCCCATGTGGCCCGTTGCCGTCGCGGCCTGTGGCCCACGGGGCCGCGAGTCCCCGCAGGCTGATCTCTCTTGGGGCAGCAGCACCAACAACGCGAGCTTGTGCTGTCGAAAAGCGGCCTGTGCAAGTCGAAAAACTTGCCGGCCGGATTTGTGGTGCCGTCGTTTTGGTTGCCGGGCGCCGGCCCCCCCTCGACATAATCTGCTCGACCCGCGGGAGATGCCCCAGCAATGTGATCTCGTGTGCTTCTGCGTTGGCGTACACTTACTTGTGAAAACACACGGTGTCTGTTCGACGCAAGATTTACGATCAAGAGTTAGACACTCCGTCAGCGACCTCGGAGGAACTGGTCGTGGAAAGCAAGGGGCGACTTGATGTGGACACACGAGACGAGGAGGCTCGGAGAAGAAGCTGGCGCGCAGATGCGGGCGAAATGGCCGCATCCAGTGTGGTTTTGGACAGGATGTGGGCAAAACCGACGGGGCTGCACGCGGGCATCGGTGCGGAGCACGAGCATTTCTCGTCCTTGGGCGCAGCTTCGTGAGGCACCAGCGCATAAGCGCCGTCCCCGCGAGGAGCTACAGTCGGCCCAGACTAGCAGGCCGACCCTGCCAAATCAAGGGTGCCCTCGTGTCCTGCGTCTTGCGACCAATGCCTCCTGCATTTCTGTGGCAACGTGGCCCTCGGAAGGGTCTTGTGCCCTCTCGCGTGTAGTCCATGGCGTACCTTGCCCTGTGCAAGTTCTTCGGCACCGCCTGTACTCTGAGCCCTCCGGCCGCCTGAGGCCCTGCCCGCCCGCGCCCTCTCCCCAGTTAGGGCTGCTCGCGTTCGTTTAGCTCTTGACCGGAAGGGGCCCGCTCCCGATCTGCAGACCAAAAAGTGCCATCTCGCGTGTCCTCTCCAGTCAGAAATATAGAAAAATGTTGGGAAATATGGGAAAATCGTCGATCCCTCAGAAAATATGGAAAAATATGGGAATTGGGCGGGAAGACAAAAACCCAGAAAATATGGGGAAATCTAGGGGGATCTTTTTATTTGTGTATTTATTTGTATGTCCTGGGGCCCCTTCAGTCCTCTCCAGTCAAGTCCGACTGGTATGGCGCGCAGCCGGGCATGGCGCGCTGCAGCCGCGGGCTTCGGAAGGCTTGGCGCGGCCGCGTCGCATGCTGCCTCGAGCGGCGCCGCCGCAGCGCAGCTCTTCGGGGGGCGCGACCGTCCCCGACGGAGGGGCGCCGCCGCTCCCCGGGGGCCACCTGCCCAGTCCTCACCTTGGCATCGCTCGGGCGTGTGCATTTTTCCTTCGGCGAGGACCATCGAGGAGCATCCCTTGATCAATTGGCGAAAAAAACACGCGCGAGAGCGAAAAACAACAGGGAATGGACGTCCGAGCGACGGCGAGTCACGGCCTTGGCCGTGAGGCTCCGTCGGGCACGAGATTCTACTCGAGGGAGGGGGGCGGAGGGGACATGGGGCCCGGGCGGGAGGAAGCCAGACGGGGCTGAGGCGTGAGGGGGGGCAGAGGGAAAGGTCGGCCATTTCGGCCTGATCTCCACGGGTTTTCGATCGAATTCGGCGGCGCACGGGCGGTGGGCGGGTTCCCAGAGCCCGAGACCAAGTTTCAGCTCCAAGATGTTGCGCTTGAGTTCGGGAGCGTGCTGCTTCCGAGCCGTCGGTGTCTGGGGAGTGCAACAGGCGGGTCAGCACTAAAGTTTTCACTGCGCTCAATCAGGGAAGCGAGCGCGTCGAAACACATCCAGGCGAAAACGAACATCAGTCTCCACAAGTTATCTGTTTGCCTCCAGGGGCGTGCCCATGCCGAACGTTTCGCCTGTCCCGCAGACTGCGGGCTTCGTATGTGTCCGACGTGGTACCAGCGCGGGTTCGGCACGGTTACGACGTGTCGGTTCGGGCTCGATTCGCACGACGCCGCGATTGGACATGCAGTTTCAGTTGTCTTTCCTTCGTGTTCTCGTCCATCGTTCATCCCATCGCCTCGGATGCAACTCCTGGGAGGTCAAATTCTGATTTTGCCCTGGTCCGAAATCCGGCTGAATATCTGGCTTAGTCCAGCTTAATCCGGCTCAATCCCGCTTAATCCGGGGCCCACTCCGGCGTAACAGCCCCCCAAATGGGGCTTAATCCTCCTTAATCCTTCCGGCGAAGACCTCCCAGCAGGAAGGATTCGCCCCTCTTTCTTAATCCTTCTTAATCCTTCCTTGATCCTCCTTAATCCTCCTTAATCCTCCTTAATCCTTCCAGACGAAGTTGCCTCCTAACATCGTCTCTCTCTCTTTCTCTCTCCCCGCCTCACCTCGGCCGTCGGCCTCCCTCCGATGCCCCGTTTTGAGAGCCCCCTTCCTCGCGTTTGTCCTTCCTCGTCGTTTTGCCGCTGCTCCTCTCGTTGTTTTGCCTTCCTCGTCGTTTTGCCTTCCTCGTCGTTTTTGCCTTCCTCGTCGTTTTTGCCTTCCTCGTCGTTTTGTCGTTGCCCTTCCTCGTCGTTTTTCCGCTGTGCATCCACAGTGCTGCCACCAGCGGCGGTCGAGTTGCCGCGCCGCCCGTCCAGCACGGCGTCACCTATGGGGTTCGCCGAGTTGCGCCAGGCATGTCTGGAGTCGGCGAGCGAGAAAGAGACATGTAGATAGAGGGAGAGAGAGAGAGAGAGAAAGAAAAACAAAATGAGAGAGAGAGAGAGACAGAGAGAGAGAGAGAGAGACAGTGTAGTAGAGCAGAGTATCCTTCTACCTGCGGCAAGCCCCTTCGGGGGAGAAGAAAGAGGAGGACATGGAGCAATTGAGGACGAGGAGGACAAGGCGTCTTGGGGCCCTCTTGGGCCGTCCTGGCGGCCTATTGGGCGCCTCCTGAGGGCCTTTTGGGGGCCGCTTGGGGATTTCTGGGGCCTCTCAGGACCCCCATTGGGGGTTCTGGTTGGTTGGAGGGGACTTTGGCCCCTCTCACGCCTTGGGCCGTCTTGGTGCCCTCGTGGAGCGCGTCAGGGCAGTGTTGGGTTGGGCTCCCTTAGGCTGACTCGGGGCCCTCTTTCTGGGAGTTCTATTGGCTGCCTTGGAGCTGTTATTTTGGAACGGGCGGTCAGAAACTCAAACAGGCGAGAGCCTTACAAACCCGAGGTCAATCATCGTGGTTTACATTCTCGAGTTTTCCTGGACGGTCTCTTGGAGCCCTCTCGGACCGTATTGTGAGCCTCTTGGGCCGTGTTGTGGTTGTCGTGGGGGCCTTTGGAGCCGTCTTGGGGCATCTTGGGCAAATGTGATATCAGTTTGGCTGTCTCGGAACCCGTCTTGGAGGCCATCTTGGTCGATTGGAAGCCGGAGCCTTTTCAGCCGTTTTGGGGCATCTTGGGCAAATGCGATATCAGTTTGGTTGTCTCGGAGCCCGTCTTGGAGGCCATCTTGGTCGATGGGAAGCCAGAAAGACCGTCTGAGAGCAAGTTCGGTGGGGGGGCGATGTTGGAGGGGTGCGCGGATCGAGGGGGGTCGGCTCTGGAAAGGCGTCAGAAACCTCCCCGCCAGCAGGCGAGCATTCTAACACACCCACTCCGTGCAGGCACGATGGCGGATACGTGAGCAAGGTAGAGTGCGAGAGAGGGGGAGTGATCAAGGCAAAGAAAATGAAAAAGAGAGAGAGAGAGAGAGACAGAGAGAAAGAGAGAGAGAGAGAGACAGACAGACAGACAGGCAGACAGACAGAGGGAGAGAGAGAGAGAGAGAGAGAGAGAAAACGTAGAGACAGGGAGCGATTCGTATACTTTTTTGTGTCTACAGGATGTACACTATGACACAGGCAGGGAGAGAGATAGCGAAAGGGAGAGAGAGAGAGAGAGAGAGAAAACAAAACCAGAGAGAGAGAGAGAGCGAGACGGAGAAAGAGGGACGGAGAGAGAGAGTCCGTAGTCACGCTGGCCCACCACCAGACATCCGACGACCGCGAGCCCTTCGCGGGCGTCTCTATAGCGCGGGGTGGGCTCGCTCTTTGGGTCGAGCACCGATGTCACGACATGTTTTGTGCCGCCTTGCGGTCTTCTTCGGTCTGCTGCTCGCGCGTGTGTCCCAAGCGGTGCGGCGGCAACACTTCCGCAGTCGGGAGGTGGCAAGGGTGGCGGTGATCTCAAGTTCAAGGGGCCACAGAGTGTGGGAAATCAGTCCTGGCAGTCCTGGCAGACAGGCTGCAGGGGCGCCGCAGTGCCGCAGATCGTCTGGAAGCTGACAACGGGCCTGGGCTCAGGCCCCCAGAGACCAGGACACAGATAAACCAGGACACGGAAAACCAAGGAAACGACATCCTTTCCTGCAAAGTCACGTTTTTCAGCGCCCGTGCACGTTTTGTGCGCTGCACTGCAGGATTCGGGTTTGTGTACGGGTTTAGGGGTGTCTTACAGGCTTTGGGGGTCTGTGTCCGGGTTTATTCTGGAAATGTTGCGGTGCAGTATTCTGTCCGTGCCGCCGTTCGGAAAAATTGGTTTCGAGGGATGTTGGGTGTCCAGGTCTAGCGCGTCCGGGTCTACGGGGCCCTGATGGGCCATGCTCTTGGCACGGTGGCGCGGCATGTGTATTGCAGGCGGTGCGGGGTGTTCGAGAAGCCTGGCGGGCACGACCGTGCATGCCAAAGGACTGAAGGCGTTGCGCCGCGGCCCGCTGCCGCGCGAGGCACTGCCGCGGCCCGCGGCCGCCGCGGCAGTATCTTTCGCGCGCCCAGCGAAAGGCAAGGACCCGAACGCGGGCGCAGAGTTGCAGAGCTGTAGGTGGGCAGTTGCACGCGCTGGACCTCGGCTTCGCCGCTGCACTGGTCTCGTGTGGGCAGGTGGGTGCGACTCCCGCTCCCGCCCCGGGCCCAGGCTGCGCGAGGAAGGTCGGCGCTTTGGCACGGCTCCATGCCGCGTGCGTGCTGGCACCTGGGCGGCGGCCGCACGAGGCGTTCGGCCTGCGGTGCAGCCCAGGGGTTGTGGTTGCTCAGTCCTGGCCTGAGGCTGGGTCGGGTGACTCGGGGGCGGAAAAGAGGGGGGTGATGACTAGGGGGGGGTGGATATCATGGCGGGGGGCATGATATTTCCCCAGATTTCATGGCGCCTCCTCTTATTTCATTACGTCCCTGGCCCCCCCGCTGGGCCGCGCACATGCCGCCGGTCATGATTTGCACCCCCCCTCTTGGACACCCCCCTCTTGGCCGCTCCCGAGGTTGCTCAGTCCTGGCCTGAGGCTGGGTCGGGCGACGGCCTCGGAGTGCGCGCGCGGTCGGCCGACCGCGCGGGGCGCGGCGGCTGTCCGCCCGCGAGGGCCGCGCGCGGCGGCCCGCGCCTGGGAGGAGTGCGCGCCGCAGTGCGATGTCTTCCTGGGCAGGGTGCCGCGTTGTGGGGGCATGAGAGGGAGGGAGAGAGAAAGAGAGAGAGAGAGAGAGCAAAACACTTTTTTGGTCTGCGGTTCGAGAGCGAGCCTCTTCCGGTTAAAAGCTAGGCGGGCTACGCAAAGCTCTAATTGGGGAGACAGAGCACAGGCGCGCGGGGCCTCAGGCGGCCGGAGGGCGGACCGGGGAGAGAGAGCAAAACACACACACACACACACACACACGAACAACCAAGCACACACAACCAAAGAGTGCGGGAGCACGAACGAGGAGCAGCTGCTACCACCCCTGCTGCTGCCACCGTGGCTTTTTACTGGTCCACACCGTCTGCGCCTCCCCCCCCTCGCCCTCACCTCTCCCCTCGCCCCCTCTCCCTCGTTCCTCCTGCTCCCTTTCTCTCCAGCCTCCCCAGCACATTCCCTGGCATCGCTCGGACGTGTGTATTTTTCTTTCGGCGAGGACCATCGAGGAGCATCCTTGATCATTTGACGAAAAACCACGCACGAAACCGAAAAAAGCATAGGGAATGGACGTCCGAGCGATGGCCAGATTCCCCTCCTCCGTGCCTTCCCCCTGGCGACGACGGTCGACGACGACGGCCAGAGGGGCGGCCACGACGACGACGACCACCACCCGACGACGGCGCCGACGATGCCCGCGGGGCAGCTGCCTCGCCCGGCCCCCCCGCCAGGCGCCCTCCCGCACACGCCGAGCTTCTCCGCCCTGCGCCCCGCGCCGGCGCTCCGGGCGGCGGGGCGGGCGGCGCCCGAGGCGCGCGCGCGCGGTCGAAGCTACACACAGACAGTGCCGTTTTTAATACACGCTCCGCGTGCGGATCATATATGAGAAATGCAGGGATTTAGTATTAGAAACAACGGCGAGTTCATGCATATATGGATTCATGCATTCATCATGTATTGAAATCCTATATTCTTAAAAATCCAATGTATTCAAAATTGCCCTGTAGTAAGGACGGGCAACCTTTCCAAGGGTACCCTTGCGCATCCTTGCATCCTCGGTGCATCCTTGGCCACGTTCGTTGGCCGCGCCCCGCTCGAAAGCTTCGAAATCGGCTTCCAAGGGCCTTGCGTCCCCGTCGCGCATCCTTGCTGTACGGGTGGACTGTGGTTCTGTGTGGCGGAGGAGTGTGGGACCAAAGTTTGCCCAGTGAGTGTGAGACGAAAGATACCTGACACTGCGCTCGTGACAGAAGAAAGGCGTGCCGCGTGGTTTCGGGCATGAATCAGTGCGTCGGCATATTTCTGTCACCGAGCGCGTTCCACTACTCGCATAAGGTCTACTACTCGCAAACGTCCGAAAACAAAAACATGTTTGCCTCGATGTCATGGATCGCGAATCCCCCGCGGCGCATCCAGGCCACTTGCGAGTAGTTCCTCTGCGAGCAGCGGAATGCGCTCGTCTATTCTCGAGGGAGGAGAACCACCCGGAGCCGATAATTGGCGTGTGCTACGCGGCTCTAGGCCTTTACCAAACAGCCCTGCCCTGTTCGAGTCCTTCCGTGGGTGCGCTTACGACACGGCTTCGCGTGTCGGGGTGGTGACGATGGGGGGGTATTTTCTGCTTTCCGAAGCCCGGTTCGGCCCCAGCAGAGACGCTCCGGAGTCGGGCGTCGCCTCGCGCTTCGCGCGGCCGCGGCCGTCCTCGGAGGGGAGGCGAGGCGTAAGTCGGGCCTGTCCGCCTACAGGGGGATTGCCGACGAAAAATAAAAAATACCCCCAAAAAATGTCCAAAAATAGTCTGGGGACTATGTTTTTAGTTTTTGTTTGCCTTTTGGGTGTATTTGTGTAGGTATTTTTTATTTTTCGTCGAAAATCCCCCTGTAGGGGGACACGCCCGACATAAGGCGAGGCGCACCGTCCCTGGGCGATCCCCTGGGCCCCGAGCGCAGAGGCCCTGCCGAGATGCAGCGCGCGCGCGCGGCCTGCGCCGCGCCGCCGCCGCGCTCGGCGTCTCCGTCCTTCTCGCTGTCCTCCTCTTCGTCCAAGTCCTCCTCCTCCTCCTACTCTTACTCCTTGTCTTTCTCCTACTCCTACTCCTCCTCCTCCTCCTCATCTGCTCCTGCTCCTCCTCCTCCTCCTCCTCCTCCTCCTCCTCCCTCCCTGGCCTGTCCATCCACTGTAAGAAAAACAAAACCGCATAAACATAAGCTTTCGACAGTCCGAGCGCCCACTGGCGGCGCCTCTGGCGCCGCCCTCGGCGCGCTCCGCGCGCCAGGGAGGGGGTCCAGCGCAGATCCAAGACATCCGCGCGGAGCGCCAAAAGGTTATGTTTATGCCCGCTGTTCTTCCTCGATCCACCCCGACCCCACTTCGGCCCCCGACCAAGGCGGGGCTGGGCGTGCTATCGCGCCTCTTTCGCGAGCTGCCGCCGAAGAGTGGAACGACTTTCCCCGAGAGAGGGAGAGAGAGAGAGAGAGAGAGAGAGAGCCTGACCGTGCCAGTGGGCCCCTGTCCATCAGGGAGTTGCCCGCCAGAGCAAGGTCAAGGTTCTCCTGCTTCCTTCTATCCTGCCGTCGGAGAGGCCGAGGCCGGCGCGAGCAGCAGGGTGCTGGTCATGCTGCGGGGCGAGATGGCCGACATGGAGGCCCCGGGGGCCGGGGCACGGTCTCGCCAGCCCTGATTTGAGTGATCGTGTTCGGGGAGGATCGGGAGAGGAAGGGGAGGAGGAGGAGGTTCGGGGATGCTTTTCGCCATTTTCGGTTCCTGGAGTTCCGCTTCGGGCCTTGGGGGCTGCCGAAAGTGGGCGGACAGCTGGCCAGGATGCACCTGAGAACGCAGCGAAAACAGCGTCGCCGGGATTCTCCGATTGCCAGGGCCGCGCAACTCCATCGCCACGCCAGCGCCGTGTATCCTTTGGCACGCGCAACGGCCCCACGGTGTCTCATCTAATTCTGATTATAGACTGAATGGCAGGTGGCCGAGGGGTACTCTATAGGGGATGCCAGGATCCGTGTCATTACATCGTTGTGCCGCTGCCCATGAGGCGCAGTCGCGCGCAATCAACACGAGATATTGTACGTGCCGACTTGCGACACGTACATGTGTTATGTGAAAAACGGGATGCCATCATCTACGTCCACCTAGAGCGGGGGCTTCACGCCCCCGTGCACGCCGGATCCCCTCTCACGCTACGCAGACCGATGATCGGATTGATGCCCTTCTGACTGGTCCATCGTCCCCCTCCCCATGAGGCCTCCCGAGGTCCCTGGAGTCCCGAAGTCCTCTAAAGCCTGCCCGTGACCCGGCAATGGCCAACAATCTGTCTGCGCACACTTGAAGTCACTTGCAATCGAATCCCGTCCTTCGATCGGCGACGACCACCAGCCGGGCCCGTTCTCGCCCGCGCGCCCGCCTGGCGAAGCTGCAGAGGCGCAGCTGGCGGAGCAGATGCGGGCGCTGCGGGACACCGCGACGCAGAGGCGCGCCGCCCGAGCCTCTCGGCCGCCGTCGCCGCGCGCCGCGTCCGGCCGTGGCGCCGTGGGCGCTCCGGGAGGCCGAGCGCGGGCCACCCCAATGCGCCCGGGTCCCTCATGGAGGGCCCCCCACGGAGTCCTGGAGACCTCGGGCACCGCCAGCGTGCGAAAGCATCGGAGGTGGACAGACCTCCTGCCCCGACACGTCGAGTAAGGACCTGGCCGTTCTCGGTTCGCGAGAGGGCGTCGCGCCCGTCATTTTGCAGGTCCAGGTGCGTCGATTTCGGTCCCAGGCCGTTTTCATTAAGGGGAGGTTTACTAAAGGGAGGTTTGCCCACCGCCGAAAACATCGATCTTTCACCATTGATCCTCGCCCCTCCTCGGCGATGATGGCGGCGGCGGCGACGGCGACGACGGTGACAGCGAGGACGACGCCGGGGACGACGACGACGGCAAGAACGTCGACGACGAGGACGACGACGACGACGTCGGGGACGACGTCAGGGACGACGACGACCTCACCGCGGCGCCAGGCAGGACAGCATGCGGGAGGCTGAGCTACGGAGGCTGGAGGGGAAGGTGGCGGAGCAGGCGGCTCGGCCCGCGGCGGGGGGGGGGTCCTTCGACTTCTGCGCGCCGAGGATGAGGAGGACGACGACGACCCTTGCCTCATGCCCTCCCCCCCCTTCCTCCTCCCTCTCCTCCTCTTCCTCCTCCTCCTTCCTCCTCCTCCTCCTTTTCCTTCTCCCCTCGCCCTCCTCCTCTCCTGAGGAGGAGGATGACGACGACGACCCTGGCCTCACACAGCGGCTCGCAGCGTGGGCCCAGAGAGGTGTCGGCCCACTCCCTGGGCACAGGCCCTTCATGCCAGGACCCAGTATGGGCCCCCGAAGGACGAAAGCGCGTCCCGTCGTCTTTTTTTGTCATTGGGCGCGAAGGGCCTGGGGAATTGACGACGATACAGTCAACATGCGTAGTAAGGATGGGCAACCTTCCCAAGGGTACCCTTGCATCCTTGCCTCTTCGGCCCATCCTCAGCGACTCTCGCTGGCCAACCTCGTTCGAAAAAACGCTAACGTGGTCATCCGAGGCCCTTGCAGCCTTACCGCGCATCCTTATTGTACGGGTTGACTGCAGCGAATCCCGTGATCACAGGCAACAAGAAGTTGAACCTCCTCAGGCCCGGGGAGCATCGTGATCAAAGTTGAGGCTGCGGTCGGTTAAGATTTTATCGAGCTCATGCTTCTGTACCTTTGATGTCCGAAGTTGTTGTTCGTTCAGATTGCCGGTGACAGTACACAACATATAACGAGGAAGGTCTAGAATCGAAGTCCCTGAGCTGCGCTGTTTTTGAAGAGGGTCCAATCCGTGTGTTTCGAAGGGGACCCGGCCCGCCCTTGGAGAAGTGCCCCGACCATCCCCTCTCCCTTGTCAAGCAGTCCTCCCCATCCCCAGCGTCCAGGGAGACGCCGGGAGAGACCGCCGCGTCTTTACGGAAAGGAAGGGTACGATGCCCAACAGCAGTTCTAGGCTTCCTAGATGGCATCCGAGTAGATGTGGTCGGGGAATCGCGCCGCATCGCCGATGCATCGCCGATGCGGCTCGTTGTAGAGACCGTGTTTCCCCACGCCGACGTCGCCGATACATCAGCGATACATCGCCTGTGTATCGCCGGTGCCTCGCCGGTGCATCGCAGGTGTATCGCCGATGCATCGGCGATGCGGCGCGATTTTCTGGGCCCAATCTACTCCGACCTCGTCTAGGAAGCCTCTACTCTCGGGACGATCGAAATGGGTACGGAAATAATGGGTACGATGCCCAACAGCAGTTCCCGTTCATTTTGAGCAGGACTCTGTCCGCGTCGCCGCGGACGTTGTTCATTGAGGGCGAAAAGCCGCCTGCCCAAAAACGACCGCTGTCGGTGTTGGACATTATTTGTTGTTGGGCATTGTACCCATTTTTTCCGTACCCGTTCTGGGTGTCCAACCCCGATCTTGGATCCACAAGCTTGGATTCTCTTCCATCCTGGTCGGCTCCCTGGTCGATTTATCACGACCCCCCAGCCCGAAGCAGGCCCCTGGAGGCCGACATCCAAGACAACCTGAGGTGTTCGATGTGTTCAAGACGTCGGAGGTCCATCTCCCCCCTTGAGGTTCCCGGACGTCCGAAAATTACCGAAATTGAGGCAGGCTTAGGACCAGGATGAATTGATCCACAGCGCCAGGACGGTCTCAGGCCGTTGTGCAGAACGATATTAGAGCGGCCGCGGCGCGCAACACATCCTCAAAACCCGTCAGCTCTCAGAGATCCCCGCTTCATCACCATCAGATGTTGTCCTTATCTTGCCTGCGTCATAGAAGGCGTTCCCGAAGATCGAACCTGGAACCTCGAAAAGGGCGAAGGGAAACGGCAAGTTCGTCATGGCCCGCGCTGGCATGATCAAGGCCCGCCAGAAAAAGGCGACCAACGCCGGGAAGCGCGAAATATTTGGCAAAGTCGTCACGGTGAAGGCGAAACTGGCCAAGACCGTCGTGCAGGCTTTCCCCGCAAATGGCGAGTTCTGAGGGCCCCTGGTCGGCGGCGTGCCCACGTTTCTCCATCGACCTGTCTGCGGGGGTGACGGTACGTCGGCACGCTGGACCTTTCCTTTTTCGTCGCTCAGGAGGCCTCGAACCTCGATCTTCTTGTCAGAGCGTGAATTACCTACCCTGCTTTCGCTTCCAGGCAAAACCAAGTCATACCACGCGCCTCCTCGTCAAGCGACCTGACCAGTACAGGCCGTAGTTTGGCATCGTTTGGTATCTCTTGGAAGCGAGGGTGGTCAAAAGGCAGGTAGGTTTCGTTTCCCCCTATCCTGCCCCCCCCCACCACCCTCCCGCGCTCAGGCGGCGGCGCAGAGCAAGCTGGACCGCAGGGTGAGCGAGGTCTGCGGCATGTTCCGCGGCTTGCAGAGCGAGGCGCCGCCCCCCGGGGAAGGCGTGCCACGGCTCTTCCGTGATGTGTCCGCGGATGGCTCCGTGTTCCACCACCGCTGCCATGGGCAAACCAGGGGAGAAGGGAGGATGGGGAGGCCCTCCTCCTCCTCCTCATCTTACTACTACTACTACTACTACTACTACTACTACTACTACTACTACTACTACTACTACTACTACTACTACTACTACTACTACTACTATTACTACTACGACGACGACGACGACGACGACGACGACGACGACGACGACGACGACGACGACGACTACTACTACTACTACTACTAACTACTACTACTAGTCCTAGTCCTAGTCCCTAGTCCTATCCTAGTCCTAGTCCTCCTAGTCCCTAGTCCTAGTCCTAGTCCTAGTCCTAGTCCTAGTCCTAGTCCTAGTCCTAGTCCTCCTAGTCCTAGTCCTAGTCCCAGTCCTAGTCCTAGTCCTAGTCCTAGTCCTCCTAGTCCTAGTTCCTAGTCCTAGTCCTAGTCCTAGTCCCAGTCCCTAGTCCTAGTCCTAGTCCCAGTCCCTTAGTCCTACTCCTACTCCTACTCCTACTCTTCCTCCTCCTCCTACTCCTACTCCTACGCCTACTACTTACCCTGCTCCTCCTCCTCCTCATTCTCCTCCTCCCCCCCTCCTCCTCCTCCTCTGCTCCTCCTCCTCCTCCTCCTCCTCCTCCCCCTCCCCCCCTCCTCCTCCTCCTCCTCCTCCTCCTCCTCTCCTCCTCCTCCTCCTCCTCCTCCTCTCCTCCTCCTCCTCCTCTCCTCCTCCTCTCCTCCTCCTCCTCCTCCTCCTCCTCCTCCTCCTCCCTCCTCCTCCTCCTCCTCCTCCTCCTCCTCCTCCCTCCTCCTCCTCTCCTCCTCCTCCTCCTCCTCCTCCTCCTCCTCTCCTCCTCCTCCTCCTCCTCCTCCTCCTCCTCCTCCTCCTCCTCCTCCTCCTCCTCCTCCTCCTCCTCCTCCTCCTCCTCCTCCTCCTCCTCCTCCTCCTCCCCCCTCCTCCCCCCTCTCATACCTGTGGTAGTGGTGGTGGAGCATCGGCCCATCATCATTCGCGGGAGGCAGCTGCCCTCCACCGCCCCTCCAGGGCCGCTCCGGGCCCTCGGGGTCGGTGCACACGCCCTCCCAGCCTCGACTCGCAGCAGGCCTGCTCGCGGGGGCGGGGGGGGGCGGCGGCCCGGTGTGCACGGCCGCCGCTCCCGTCGGGAGCCTTGAGACGGGGGTCAGTGCAAACGGGGGTCAGCCACGGCACCCCCTCTGGCTGACCCGGGTTAGCGAGCCGCTCGTGGCCGCGAGGCGGCCGCACATCTTGGCGGACCCGGGTTTGCGAAGACCTGCGTTGCAGTGTTTTTTTGTTTCCTGCATTTGCAGTTGTTGGCTTCCTGCTGACCCGGGTCTGGATTGACCCAGGTCAGAAGATCCCTTGGCATCGCTCGGACGTGTGCATTTTTCCTTCGGCGAGGACCATCGAGGAGCATCCTTGATCATTTCGCGAAAAATCACGCATGAAACCGAAAAAAGCACAGGGAATGGACGTCCGAGCGATGGCCAGATCCCCGATCCCGGGGCGCGGGCCCCGGGCCCTCCCCGGGGCGCCCGGGCTCTTCGCGCCACATATCGGCCGCCCTTCGCATTGTATTGGGCCCGTGCCCGCAGCGGGCCTCCTGGGGAGGCCCCGAGAGCCAACGCATTGGAAGAGAAGTCAAGGCGGAGGTGTTTCGCCAATTTCGGCCCCTACGAGGGTCGGGGGGGGACAGACCTCCTACCCTGACACGTCGATTAAGGAATTTCGGCAACGCGCAGAGGGGGGTAGGGGGAGGGGGGAAGGCTTCTTAGAAGCACCACGTCTTCTTAGAAGGCGCGGGCCTTCTCTATAGACGTAAGGCCGAGGCCTTTAGGAAGAAGCAGGGTGCTTCTAAGAAGCCTTCCCCCCTCCCCCTACCCCCCTCTGCGCGCCGCCAAGAATTGGCCGTTTTCGGTTCGCGAGAGGGCGTCGCGGCCGTTATCTTTGCGGGTCCAGGTCCATCAGTTTCGGTCCTAGGTCGTTTTCGCGAAAGGGAGGTTTACTAAAGGGAGGCTTGTCCACCGCCGATAGGGGCCCTCACCGGGCCTCGGGACCGTGCACAAGAACGCCTGGGACTGATAAGCCGGTCCATGGGGGAAGGGGTCGATACGTCGGGGGGCCGTGCAGATCGAAAAGATTACGGCCTCGGATCTCTGGGGGCCCAGGTCCTGCGCCTGGCGGCGCCGGGTGCCTGCCGACGGCCCGCCGCGGCGCCGGCGGGTGGCCCCCGCGGCGGGCCGGCGCCCGCCCGGCAAGGTGCAGCTGCAGGCGCAGGTCGGCAGCAGGCCACCGGCGGCCCCTGCCGCTCGGTGGCGGCGTCGGCGGCGGCGGCGGCGGCGGCGGCGAGGAGGACGCGGACGAGGCCTGCTTTGCCCTTCAGGTGCAACGCAGGGCGTGGGGGTAGGCTTCCCAGACATGATCGCGTCGTTTAAAAAATCAGGACGGAGGTTTGTCGCCATTTCGGGCCCCTGGGGGACCTCGCCGGGCCCCAGGACCGTCAAGAAACGGCTGAGGACGACAAGCTGGCCCAGGGGAAAGGGTCGGGACTTCCGAGGACGTCGTCCTAAAAAGATCAGGACGTCGCATGTCTGGGTTATGGGGGGGCATGCGTCGACCCCCGACTCGCCTATGCATCGCCGGTACGGGCCCGGTAGCCGACCCCGCCTGGGAAGGTGCGGAGTCCCCATCGCGGGCCTATCGCCGACCTGCCGGCTATGCATCGCCGATTGCAACTCGATGTTTCGCCCCCTGAGCTGACCCCTCCCTAACGTTGCCCCTCCGGCCTGCTCCTCCCCCTTGGTTGCCTCGCCTCCCACAGCATCCTCCCTCGTCCTCTCGGGCTCAGCGCGCAGCGGCCGCCGCCCACCCCCCCCCTTCCGCGGCACCCCGGCCACATGGGCCGGGTGCTCCGGTTGCCGGGCGGCGCCAGCGGCGGCTAACGCGCCCGCGCCCAGCGGCACGCCGACCCGCCGCCAGTCGGCTTGCCACTGCGGTGCGGAGCCTAGCGCCATGGACGGCGCTAAGATGGCGGCGGGGGGGCGCGCCAATGTCCGTTCCGAGGATCGATGGCGCAGTGTTTCCGTAATAGCGATTCGCTAGAGTTTACGAAACGATGTCGTCAAGGACTACAGAAGAGTCCCACAGGGAATGCCGGTGATGGCAGCCGCTTCGCCGAGTAATCCTGCACAAGGTATCAAGGAATCGGAACTTCGCCTCAGTGCTGGCCACATTTTAGGTTCACACGGCCACGGAATCTTGGGCGTTCGCCTCGGGCATTTTGTGTGGGACACCGTCACGCGGTCAACTCTCGCGCACCGCTACGCCAGTACCACGTGGGCAGACTGATGACGAGCAGCACGCCGACGCTGACTCCGAAGACATTCCCCTCCTTCCACCCCCCCCTCGAGCACCGCACCACCGACCACACTGACGCACAGACACGCTGGCTCGTCAGGGACCTCCTCGCACGCCAGTTCTCAGAGGCCGTGGCCTCGCCCACCCTGTTTCGGCTGGGCCCGGATGTCGTCCACAGCGGTGGTCGTTCGTTCATTCGTTCGCTCCTGGAGCAGCTGCCTCCGCTGGCCCTCCTTCAGGAGGAGAAAACACACAGACAGAAATAATCATCGATTCCCCAGAAAATGTAGGAAAATATGGGAAGTGGGGGGGGAAGACGAGAACCCAGAAAATATGGGAACATCTGGGGAGTCCTGTTGATTGTGTGTCATTGTGTGTCTTTATTCGTGTGTATGCGTCCTCCCCCCCAGGCGGGGCAGCCCGTGGCGGCCGACGACGCGTTCGAGTGGGAGGTGCGCGACAGCACCACGCCGTTCTGGCAGCACGCCGTGGCCGGCTCCGCCCCGAGAGTCCAGCTCCGGCCTCCGATGTCGACTCCAGCCGGCTGGACTCGGGGGCGGAAAAGAGGGGGGTGATGACTATAGTCGGGGGAGCGTAAGACCTGGGTTTGCCAGGACTCGGGTTCGCCATCGTTTTTTGACGACCGCGCCTCGGATTTTGACGAGGAGGAGTTTTGTGGGATGTCTGCAGCGGGAGGCCTCGTCAAAATGCAGGCTCGGCCTCGTCATTTTTTTGACGACCTCGTCGGGGATTGCCGAGTCCCCCGTACCCGGGTCTTACGTCTCCCCGATATAGGGGGGGTGGGTGGGTGTCATGGCGGGGGCCATGATATTTCCCCAGAGTTCAGGGCGCCTCTTCTGATTCCATTACGTTCCCGGCCCCCCCGCTGGGCCGCGCACATGCCGCCGGCCATGATTTTTGCACCCCCCCCTCTTGGACACCCCCCTCTGGGCCGCTCCCGATGGACCCGATCCAATCCGTATGCTGCGGCGGTCTGGTGCGGTTCGACCCTCGCGCGACGCTGTTGAGCATCCTGACGCGGCCGATCGGGCCGAACGAAAGGGGGGGGGAGAGGGAAGGGGGGGGGTACGAAAGCTGCTGCAGGCACTGGTTTCAGCCCGACCGGGGGGCCCATCCCTCGATACATGGGCGCCTCCGGCGCCGGGAGGCGCCGGGAAAATCAGCTTCGCGAGTTGATCCTCACCCCCCCCCCTTTGCGATCCCCCCCATTCGTCCAGCCCGACAATCGCGATGCTGCGGCACTCTGGTGCGGTTCGACCCTCGCGCGACGTTGTTGAGCATCCTGACGTGGCCGACCCGAAGCGGTGATTCCCGATCCGTGCCCGTGCAGCCCGATCCGAAGCGCAAACCGATGCGGCCCGATTCTCCGATTCGAGGCTGGCTCTTCTTGCCCCCCGTCCGGCCAAGACTTCTTCGCTTGGTGGGCGAAGCTCGAGCGTCATTCAGGAGGGAAAAAAACACACAGACACAATTAATCGTCGACCCCCAGGAAAATATAGGAAAATCTGGGATGTGGGGGGGAAGACAAAAACCCAGAAAATATAAGAAAATATACGGGAATCCTTTCATTTGTGTGTATCTATTCGTGTGTCCCAGGGCCCCTTCAGTCATGGCGTAGTTGGCTCCGCCATCGGGGCCGCCCGTCCCAAGGCGGCTGGGGGACTCGTGCCCCGACCGTGCCACCGCGGAGGCGCAAAGTGTGCAGCCGCCCTCGGACAGGCGTCTCCGAGGGCGGGAAAAGCGTACAGTGCCGTTCTGTTTTAAGCATGCAGGGATTTAGTACTAAAACATGCAGGGACTTAAACATGCGGATTTAGTACTAATAACATGCCGTTAAACAAATGCAGGGATTTAGTACTAGGGATCCGCGTGCGGATCATGTATTAAACATGCATGGATTCAGTACTACAAACAGTGATGAGCTCATGCACCAATCTATTCCCAAATCAATCACGTATCAAAGATCCTATATTGCGATGGCCTTACTGCCAGTGCCGCCGACCCTGAAGACGAAGCTGTCTGTGACGCCGTGAAGGCCGAAACGTCGTATATGCTAGAAATGTAAGTTTCCGATGGAAAAGTAATGAGTGTGGCATCTTGGGTCCTTCTTGGGGGTGCTCTTGGAGCGGGCCTGGGACGTCTTGGAGGCTTCTTGGACGGTCTTGGGGCTATCTTGGGCGTCTTCGGCCGATCTTTGGGCGACTCGGGGCACTCTTGGGCCGTCTCGGTGGCCATCTTGTGCATTCGGACCTCATTTGGAGTGTCTTCGAGGTTTCGAGGCCGCCCGAGGAAAAACGAATCTGCCCCCCCACCCCCCCCCCACCCCCCCCGGGACCCCCCCCCCCCCTGGGGACGGGATCAAAGGGAAGGGGCTTCCCTTCGAATCGACAACGGCATGACGGCAGGAGGGTACGGCCCAAAACGAAAAAAGGGGGAAGGAAGAAGGGGGGGCGGCGAGGAACGGACGAGGAAGCCCCTCGCACACGCCGACAGGGTCGGCGGATTTTTTATGTGTTAAAAATTGCCCTGTATGTTATACCTTGTGTCGCGTCGTCGTCGAGGTTTGGTTGTCGAGGTGATCGGGCGTTTTCGGCTGCATCCTGCCCTCCTCGGGGCCGCCGGGGGCCTCTGGGGGGAGGGGGGCCTGCGGGGGCCTCCAGGACGCCCCTGCTCGTCCCGAGCCTCCGTCGTGGGGGAGGGAGAGGACGAGGAGGAGGTTCGGAGATCAATCCCGGTGTAGGGCTTTAGAAATAGAAGCCGGCACCGCACGGTGGACCATGAGCTCATTCCGGCTTCGTGAAAAATCCCCGGCGCGCCTTGCGTGAGCTGGAAATCTGTCCCGAGAGAGGTTTCCTGAGCGTTTCCCACTACTCTGGACGCCCGAAATGGGTACGGAAAGAATGGGTACAATGCCCAACAGCAGTTCCTGTTCATTTTGAACAGGACTCGCTGTCCGCGCCGCCGCTGCCGGTGCCCATTCGAGACAGAGGGCCGCCTGCCCAACAGCGGCCGCTGTTGGCTGTGGGCAGCATTTGTTGTTGGGCATTGTACCCATTCTTTCCGTGCCCATTTCGGGCGTCCGAAATCAAGATTTCTGCGTTGGTTAGCGCTCTCGGTCGTGTCTTGGCTTCCTGGAGACCCCCCGCCGTCACAGAAGGATGCGGAGGAGGTCCGAAGATCAAGACTTCATGGTTTGGAAATGTTCCTGGTTGTGTCTGGGCCTCCTGGAGCCTCTCTGTCGTCACAGCTGAGCACAGCTGAGCGACACAAAAACAGGTCGTCTGCGCCGATATTGGCGCGTTAGCTGCCCGCGTAAGGTCGTGCGCAAGCGCCCTCGCTTCCAACGTGGCGTGCCGCGCTGGCGGCCCACGTAAGCCGCCGCGTGAGGTCGCTATGGCATCTCGCGTAAGGCCAATGTTTGATCGTCGCGCAGCTGGATTCACTTCGAAGTTCTCCTCAGAACGCACCCCGGGAGGAGTGCAGAGATCGGCTTTGAGGAGGAGGACGACCAGGGCCCAGACCTCCGACGCACTGCGCTACTTGGTTGTGCAGCAGCACCGAGGCCATGAAGGCTATGCCCCTCCTGGCCTGCGCATCGGTGGGAATGCCTCCCCTGCCAGGCAGGGGCGGCGCACGCACCGATCTTGGGCCCAGCAGGGCCGGCCAGGGTCGGTGTTGGCGCATTTGTTGGTGGCCGTCTACAGACAGCCCGCACAGTTGGAATTCGCAGCCTTCCCAAGGGTACCTATCGGTCGTTGAAAGTAGCTACTTTCGGATTCCCAGATTCCAGTCTACTTTAAGCGCCTTCCTACTTCAATGATCGAGTGGCTACACCTTTTTGTCCGTCCTTCTTAGGGGGCGGACGGAACCCAATATAGTTTCAACGCCGTCCTACTTCATGTTTCTACCTATTTCTTCCGACCGATGGGTATCCTTGCCTCCTGGGTCCATCCTTGGCCACTTTCGTTGGCCGCGCCCCGCTCGAGGAGCTTACAAATGTGCGTCCAAGGCCCTTGCATCATTATCGCGCATCCTTATGATCCGGGCCGACTGTATTGGTGGCGGCCTTCTACCCGGGAGGCGTCGTTTTCGGCGGGCCGCCTTTCTCATCCGGGTTTGGGCGGCCGGCTGCTGTGGTTGGTGGGCGGCAGGGTTTCCATCGCAGCGTCCCGCTGTCGGGCGCAGAAGGCCCGCCTGTCCTTTTCCAGCCGTGGCCGCAATGTTTGTTTCGCGTTTGGCGCAGCATCTGAGCCTTGGCCACCACTTGGAAGCAGTGGACCGCACCTGTCCGTGCCCTGCATCGTCCTCCAATTCCCCCCCCCATCTCCGCTCCAGGCTCCTCCGCCGGCATTGCGGAGCACGTCAGCATGTACCCCCTCGACACGCTGAAGACGCGCATGGGCGCCTCTCAGGTCCATGGGGAGGGGCAGGAAGTGAGGGGGAGGGGAGGAGGAGGAGGAGGGGGATGATGGGGCAAGAGGACTGAGGAGGAGGGAAAGGAGTGCGGCAGGGAGGCTGGGAGGGAGAGAGAACGAGGAGCAGGATCGGGGAGGAGAGGGATGGCAGTAATGGCCCTGAGCAAGCAGACTTCAAATGGTGCCCACCTCGGTGGTTGCAATCGGTTAGGGGTTCCGACTCGTGTTTTGAGGAGCTGCCTTTGTGCTGCACGGTCGGCTGTTGCCACGTGGACCGCCATCGCCGTTACTGCGTGGACCGCGATGGCGTTGGTTGCTCTGACCGCTGTACAGTCGGGGCCCTGAAGAAGGAACCCTTTTCGTTGGGGAGGGGCTCGGTGTTCCTTGATTGTTCTGCAGTTTGCCTTCTGTTTTCCTGACGTTGCCCATGGGAAATCGAAGTTCAACTTATGGGAGAAAGGGACCTCGTTCCTTATTTAGGGTTCCTTAGGTCAACGCCCCGACTGTATTCTGTCTCGCCAGGTCGATCGTTGTTGTCTGGATCGCTCTCCAGCTGCCTGCCGCGAGCCCCCGCAGCCGTGCCAGCCCAGCATTGTGGATAGGGACTGCTTCAGTTGACCTGGGAGGCCGTCACGTGCGACACCTCGTGTCTCAAGGTTGGGGAGAACCTCGATAAGGATGATCATGATTATCAGCATGATGAAGATGATGAAGATGATGATGATGATGATGATGATGATGATGATGATGGTGATGGTGATGGTGATGGTGATGGTGATGATGATGATGGTGATGGTGATGGTGATGGTGATGGTGATGATGATGATGCCTGTGCTGATCATGATGATGGTGATGATGATGCTGATGATGATGCTGGTGATGTGATGATGGTGTTGATGATGATGATCGATGATGTGTGATCGGTGATGGTGATGGTGATGGTGATGGTGACGATGGTGATGACGACGATGACGATTGTGATGACGATGACGATGATGATGATGGTAATGCTGCTGATGATGATCATGATGATGAATATTGTGTTGGTGAAGATGATGCTGCTGATGATACTGATGATACTGATGATGGCGATGATGCTGAGGATGATGAAGATGCTGAAAGTGGTGATGATGCTGATGATGATGATGGTGGTGACGCTGATGATGCGGTGATGTTGATGGCCGATGGTCAGGATGATGGTGGTGATGATGACGACAACGACGGCGATCGAAGAATATGATGGCAATGGTGCCGACGTTGACGTTGACGTTGATGATGATGATGATGCTGATGATGCTGATTGCGATGGTGGTGGCGATGGCGGTGATCGTGGTGATCATGATGATGATTATGATGTTGATGCTGATGTTGATGATGCTGATGATGCTGATGATGATGCTGATTGGTGGTCGGTGGCCGATGGTGACGATGTTGAGCATGATGTTGTCGATGACCGTGGTGGTGATCATGAGGCAGGGGATGCGAATGATGATACTTATGATGAAGATGTGATGCTGATGATGATGGTGATTGTGGTGCTGTTGCTGATGCTGTTGCTGCTGATGCTGATGTCGCTGATGATGATGATTATGTTGGCGATCGTGATGATGGTTCTAATGATGCTGATGATGATGAGAATGCGTATGACCATGCTGGTGATGATGATGGTGATGATGTTGGTGACGCTGATGATGCGGTGATGTCGATGACCGATGATCATGATGATGGTGGTGATCATGATGTCAAAGATGATGATCGATGATCATGGTGGCGATGATGCTGATGATAATGTTGATGTTGATGATGATGCTGATGCCGTTGATGCTGATTGCGATGGTGGTGGCGATGGTGGTGATCGTGGTGATCATGATGATGATTATGATGATGATACTGATGTTGATGATGCTGATGATGCTGATGGTGATGATGATTGGTGGTCGGTGGCCGAATGTGACGATGTTGAACATGATGTTGTCGATGACCGTTGTGGTGATCATGAGGAGGGGGATGCGAATGATGATACTTATGATGAAGATGTGATGCTGATGATGATGGTGATTGTGGTGTTGTTGCTGATGCTGTTGCTGATGCTGATGCTGATGTCGCTGATGATGATGATTATGTTGGCGATCGTGATGATGGTTCTAATGATGCTGATGATGATGAGAATGCGTATGACCATGCTGGTGATGCTGATGGTGATGATGTTGGTGACGCTGATGATGCGGTGATGTCGATGACCGATGATCATGATGATGGTGGTGATCATGATGTCAAAGATGATGATCGATGATCATGGTGGCGATGATGCTGATGATAATGTTGATGTTGATGATGATGCTGATGTCGTTGGTGCTGATTGCGATGGTGGTGGCGATGGTGGTGATCGTGGTGTTCTTGATGATGATGCTGATGCTGATGATGCTGATGATTGGTGGTCGTTGGCCGATGCTGATGATGTTGAGCATGATGTTGTCGATGATTCTGGTGGTGATCATGCGGAGGCGGATGAGGATAATGATGACCATGATGAAGATAGGATGAGTTTGATGACGATGATGACGATGATGGTGATGGTGATTGTGATGCTGGTGCTGATGCTGATTATGATGTTGATGCTGATGATGATGATGATGATGATGATGATGATGATGATGATGATGATGATGATGATTATTGTGATGGTGATGGTGATCGTGATGATCCTTCAGATGCTGCTGATGATGATGATGATGACGACGATGATGATGCTGCTGAAACGCATTCGGGCCGGCTTGGGGCTCCCTTGGTCGTCTGTGAGGTTGTCTTGGGGCGATCTTGGGGCCGCCTTAGTGCCCTTTTACGCGGGCTTGGGGTTCTGGTGGGCTGTCTTGGGGCACTCCTGGCTGTATGGTAGGTGTCGGGGGCCCGTCGTGGGGCCGTCTTGGGTCGCCAAAAGGTATTACAATGCCGTCTTGGGCTCCATGGGAGGCTCTCTTGGGCCGCCTTGGGGCTGTCTTGAATGCATCATCGGCCATCATGGAGTCCTCGTGGGGCGTCTTAAGCTGTCGGCAGCCCGACAAGGCAAGAATACGAAAATCAGTCGAAACCGTTGGGAAATCAATGATTCGGTTTTCGTCGGACCTTGTTGGAGGTACTCTTGAGGCCTTTGTGGGCCCTCCTTGAGGCATCTTGGGCCGTCTTGAAGCAACGTTTGGCCGCCTTGGGGCTTTCTTGGTGTCCGTGGTTGCCTGCACGAGCCGTCTTGGAAGTGCGGGGCGCGCATCCAAAAGTTTGAAGAGGGAGCGTGGCGTGGGAGGTCCTGCAGCGCTTGGGGGCAGCGCCTGGGGATGCGGGGCGTGCACGGTCCTCGAGCGGGTGCGCGTGAGACGAGGGGTCTAGGAGGTACTCCAGATTTCGTAATACAGGGAGGGGGTCTCATGTCGGGGGGGGTCTCTTCCAGGCTATCTTGGAGGGCCTGGGGGGTCTGAGACTGGGGACGACGTTTTGGAGGGTTCTCCCACGGGGGAGGTCTGAAATGGCTTGTCTTGGAGGGTGCAGACCCCCTCCCCTTTATTACGAAATCTGGAGTAGCAGACATGAGGCAAGTGCACAATCCTCGAGCGGGCGCGCATGGAATGATGGTTCAGGCGTGAGCTGCCATGCGGTAAGTGCATGCGGCAAATTGCGAGTAGAGGGGGGGGCGGTCCCTTGTTAGAGTTCGCAAATCCCTACCAACAGACCTTGTCATTCTTCCACGCCTCAACGTGCCAGGGGGTGGAGGCGGATAACCTTGGCTGCGTTGACCGATGTGACTGTTGTTTCCAGGTTGGCCGTTGTTGCTTGCACCGTTTACGGCTTGGACCGCCATGGTTTGGAGCATAGCGTTCCTAACTCACATTGCAAACTTGAATTCGGTCTCCAATTAAAATTCTCTTACTCGTGCCCCTACTCATACCGCAACCGCTACCCGTTCAAGAGGCCTACGCAATTTCGCCGACCCCTAGAAGAGGATATGTGCGGCTGCCGATCTCGTATCTGTTGTTTACCACTTTCCGCCGTGCTGCCTGCATGTAGTTGTTGCTGATGCGTCCTCCGCTTCCTCTGCGTCTCGTGCGGGGCTTCTTGGGGGCATCTTGGAGGCCTAGGGGGCGGCCTCATGGGAGCTTCTTCGAGGCTGCTGGAGCCCACTGGGGGCTTACTTGGAGCGTCTTGGGCTGGCTTCTGGTTTTCTGTTTGCCGTCTTTACCGTCAGGGCGTTGACATAAGGAACCCTAGATCAGGAACGAGGCCCCGTTGTTTCCACAAGTTAAACCTCGATTGCCCAACGAAAACCTGAGGACAACCTAAGGCAAGCTGCGAAACAATTAAGGAACACGGACGGAGCCCCTCCCCAACGAAAAGGGTTCTTTGTTCAGCGCCCCAACTGTAGGGCCGTCTTGGGAATCTCGGGCCGCCATGCAGCGGTCTGAGGAGCTGCGAGGGCTGCCTAGGGCTTGCACACGCCCGGAAAGATTGGAACGCTTTCCATGCTCAATCCAGGGCTGAACCTAAACGGTGTTGTTCGTTTTCGTTTGTTTTCGTTTTCCCTCGTTTTGTTTTCAATCCGGTTGTAACGCAAAACGGAATCGAATCGAAAACACCGTTTAGGTTCACCCCTGGTCCAGTCGTAAAGAAAAGCGTTAAACCATCATTGCTGTTGGTCTCTGGAAGCCCTCTTGGGGGCCCTCTTGGGGCGTCGTGGAGCCCTCCTGGGCCGCTTTGAGGCCATCTTGGGTGTTCTCGAGGTCTCTCCGGCGTGCTGGAGCCCTTCTTGCTCATGCTCTGACAGGCATCGGGGGCATACCTTGGAGGCCACGTGTGGTGGATGTTGGAGGCGCTGAGTGCCTGGGAGGGGGGCTCCGCCCGTCGGGTGGCGGGGAGGGCGGGGCACGCGGAGGAGGAGGATGGAGGCCGTGGGCGGAAGGAGGAGAAGTGAGAAGGAGGGAGGAGGGGGAGGAGGTTGAGGAGGAGGAGAAGGAGGAGGAGGAGGAGGAGGAGGCGGCAGGGAGTTCCCGGACCCCCTCCCCTCGGGGCTCAAGAGACGGAGGGTCGATACAAGCGGGAGTCAGCCAGGGCGCCGGATCTCGCAGGATCCTGCAGGGCCAGGGTCGCATTGGCCCTGGCTCCCTGGCTTGGGTGCAGGATCCTGCAGGATCCTGCAAGGCCTGGCTGACCCGAGTTTGGATTGAGCTGGGTCAGAAGATCCCCGACCCCCTTTCTCTCCCCTCTAACGGCATTGGGGGCCCTGGGGGCGGGGCAAAGGGGGGAGGTGGGATAGCCAAATGTCCCACACGATTCTTCTCGGAGAAGAAAACACGGCACAAACGTAAATTGTTGGCGCTCCGCGCGGATTTCTTGGATCCGCGCCAGGGTCCCCCCGCGGCGCCTCCGGCGCCGCCCCTGGCGCGCTCCGCGTGCCAGGGAGGTGGGGTCCAGCGCAGAGCCAAGAAATCCGCGCGGAGTACCAACAATTTGTGTTTGTGCCGTTTCTGATTCTCCTCTATCACACGACTCTTCGCCCCCAGCAGCTTGCTGGCCAGGGAGTCCGCCCGGCCCACCAGGCCCAGCATTCATTCTCCAAACAGCGGGGTTGCAGGTGGCCATCGATGGACCTTACCCTAAGTCGGGCGTGTCCTCCTACAGGGGGATTTTGGAGGAAAAATGAAAAATAGTCCAAAAATAATTCAAAAGTGGGCAAACATTGTTACAAAAATAGTCCCCTGATTATGTTTTGACTATTTTAGAATATCCCCCCTGTAGAGGGACACGCCCGACTTAAACTTTGCTCCGCCCCTCCCACCAAGAGGAAGCGCGGATGCGACGCATGAGGACAGCAACGGGACGCGTTGATTGTGCTGTCCAGTAGCTTCTTGTTGCATGTTCGCTATTCTGCACCATGCTCCAATCGGAGTTCATGTTCCTTCTCCTGCTCTGACGAATTTCTGAAAGCGTGGAGTTCCACGTGCGCGCGGTCCGGCAAGCATGAACTTCTGCAGAAGCTGCACGACGCAGCAGTGTTGTGCCTGCGCGCTGGCACAGTTCAAAAAGGGCTCCTGGGTTTCAATTCAGTGCTGCGGCAGCAGCAGCACGACGAGAGAGAGAGGTCGAGGACGGGGGCACCCGGATGGCGAGCATCTCTGGGGCGCCCCAGCTGTGCCGGCAGAGCTGCTGCCGACGCAGGCTGGCAAAGAGGGCGCAGGAGCAGGCGGAGCGGGAGTACAGTTTCTTTCTGCGCAGTATGCTCCTCCTTTGCCATTCTCATCACTCCTCCTCCTCCTCCTCCTCCTCCTCACTCCTCACTCCTCACTCCTCACTCCTCACTCCTCACTCCTCCTCCTCCTCCTCCTCCTCCTCCTCCTCCTCCTCCTCCTCCTCCTCCTCCTCCTCCTCCTCCTCCCCCTCTCTCCCCCCCACCCCCTCACCTCCTCCTCCTCCTCCTCCCTCCTCCCTCCTCCTCCTCCTCCTCCTCCTCCTCCTCCTCCTCCTCCTCCCTCCTCCTCCTCCTCCTCCTCCTCCTCCTCCTCCTCCTCCTCACTCTCCTCTCCTCCTCCTCCTCCTCCTCCTCCTCCTCCTCCTCCTCCTCTCCTCATCCTCCTCCTCCTCCTCCTCCTCCTCCTCTCCTCCGCCTCCTCCTCCTCCTCCTCCTCCTCCTCCTCCTCCTCCTCCTCCTCCTCCTCCTCCTCCTCCTCCCCTCCTCCTCCTCCTCCTCCTCCTCCCTCCTCCTCCTCCTCCCTCCTCCTCCTCCTCCTCATCCTCCCTCCTCCTTCTCCCTCCTCTCCCTCCTCATCCTCATCTTCGTGGGGGGAGGAAGGGGGGGAGGGAGGAGGAGGCGGAGGGAGAGGAGGGGGCGGGGGGTACTGGGGAGGCGCGGGGGCCTGACCGCGGCGACGACAAAAAGCGCTCCCACAGGGCCAGCAGGGGGCCCGGAAAAATCGCCCCGAGCCCTCGGACCCCTGGTGCCCCCGCCTCCCCGATGCCTCGAGGCCTCCGCCCTCGGACCCTCGACGTCCCCCGAGGAGGGCCGTGGGCACCCCGACCCCTCGAACCCCCGACGGAGAGGAGGAGGAGGAGGAGGAGGAGGAGGAGGAGGAGGAGGAGGAGGAGGAGGAGGAGGAGGAGGAGGAGAGGAGGAGGAGGAGGAGGAGGAGGAGGAGGAGGAGGAGGAGGAGGAGGAGGGGGAGGGGGAGGGAGGAGGAGGGGGAGGGGGGGGGAGGAGGAGGCGGAGGCGGAGGAGGGGAGGGGGAGGAGGAGGAGGAGGAGGAGGAGGAGGAGGAGGGGAGGAGGAGGAGGAGGAGCCCCCGAGGGAGCCTCGGGCCTCGAGTCCTCCCCAGGTCGACGTGACCCTGTCGTCGACCCTCCGGGACGTGCTGCGGGAGCGGGGCGCGCCGGGCCTCATGCGGGGCTCGCTGGTTATCGGCGCAGGCGCCCCGCGCGCCCGCCTCTCTCGGGTCCGACGTGCAGCGAGCAACAGGAGGAGGAGGAGGAGGAGGAGGAGGAGGAGGAGGAGGAGGAGGCCGGACGGGTCTGGCCACTGTCCTGGCCCCCCATGTGGCATCGAACGAGGAGGCTAGCAGCACAGGCGAGGCGCTGAAGTGAGGACCATCCTGGGCTCTGGGGGGTCTCTGGCCTCTTGGCCGATGAATCGATGGACTCGGGTCTTGCAGCCTATAGTCTCGTGGCCGAGGCTCCTCCTCCTCACTCGTGTTTCCTGCTCGTCCGCCCTCCTGGCTCCATCCCTCCTCCTCGCTCCTCGCTCCGCCTCCATCCTCCTCGCTGCGCCCTCCTCCTCAGTCCTCATTCCTCCTCCGTCCCCCTCGCTCCTCCCTCCTGACTTCTCCACTGACTCGGCGGCGTGGCAACTGGACCAGTGTAACAGCTGGGTGAGCCATCCGGTCTCGCAGCGACTACAAGGCCATGGGGCAGAAACGAGGCGTGGTGCATGCGCGCGGCTGCGCTTCGGCTGCCAGCTCCTTACCTGGACCTCCCACTGCGGCCGTCGCCCAACCTCCTTGCAGCATGGTCTACAGCACAGGGCCGAGAAACCGTGCTAGCACAATGCTCCATGGCAAGGCTCCGCGTGGGGACTATCATATTCTGCAGCTTGGGCGTCACAGAGGTCGTCTGTCCCCGGCATGGCTGAGGCAGTGCGCCATGTATGTGCGGGGTGGTTTTGCACAGCCTTGTGTTCCACGTCATGTTTTCTTGCAGCGTACCAGCAGCGCGACGGTCAGCATTCTGGGCAGCGGCAGTCGAGCAGGCGTTGGGTTCCCTGGAGGTGGCGGCGCGGGCCATCTTGGGGAGTACCCCGGGGCAGACGAGGATGGCGCTAGTTCCCCAAACAGTGCTTGCATTTAGGCGGCTGTAGTTGCGTTCCTAAGGAGTTGGGTGGGTATGCCGAGGATTCGCCACGTTGCTGCCCGTTGGCGCCCATGGCCGCCCGCTGCCGCCTGTGGAGGTGTGCCGAGGGTTCGCTACGTTGCCGCCCGTTGCCGCCTGTGGGAGAATGCCGAGGATTGGCCACGTTGCCGCCCGTTGCCGCCTCGTTGCCGCGTCGTTGCCAGCCCATGCGTTGTGCGGGTATGCCGGGATGTCGCCATGTCCACATCGTTGCCGCACCATTGCCGCATCGTGACTTGTGTGGGTGTGCCGAAGACTCGTTTCGGTGCCGCTCGTGGCCGCCTGTCAGGGATTCACCACAACACCGTTCGTTGCCGCCTCTTTGCCACTTCGTTGCCGCCTCGTGCGTTATACAGGTATTCCTAGGACATGCCACCTTGCCGCCTGTCAGAGCATGCCGTGATTTGCCACGTTGCCGCCCGTGGCCGCGCCATTGCTTCTTCGTAGCCGCCTCCTGCGCTGTGTGGGTATGCCGAGGATTCGACACGTTGCCGCTCGTTGCCGCCTCGTGCGCTGTGTCCGCCTGCCAGAGTATGCGAGGATTCGCCACATTGCCGTCCGTGGCCGCGGCGTTGCCGCCTCTGTAGTTGCGCCGACATGCTGAGGAGTAACCCCGTTGCCGCATGTGGGTGTGTGCTGAGAAGTCGCCACGTTGCCGCTCGTTGCCACGTCGTTACCGCCTGGTGCGTTGTGTGGGTATGCCGAGGATTCGCCACGTTGCCACCCGTTGCTACCTGATGCCGCATCGTGCGCTATATAAATATTGTAAAAAAAGCTGCCACCTTTGCCCCTGTGAGGGTATGCCGAGATGCGCCACGTTGCCGCGTCGTTGCCTCGCCGTTGCCGCGCCGTTGCCGCCTCGTGCGCTGCGTTGGTCTGGCGCGAGGATGCGCCCCGTTGCCGCCCGTCGCCGCACGCATGGTTATGCCGAGGGCTCGCCGCGTTGGAGCCCGTTGCCACCTCGTGGCCGCGTCGTTGCCAGCTCGTGCCGTGTCTGGGTATGACGAGGATTCGCCACGCTGCTGCCCGTTGCCGCTTCGTGCGCTGTGTGGGTATGCCGAGGATTCGCCAAGTTGCCGCGCCGTTGCCGCGTCGATGCCGCCTCGTGAGTTGCGTCGGCATGTTGACGATTCACTCCATGGCCGCCTGTGGGGGCTATGCTGAGGATCCGCCACGTTGCCGCTCGTTGCCGCGTCGTTGCCGCGTCGTGCGCTACACAGGTATTCCTAGGATTTGCCACCTTGCCGCCTGTGAGAGTATGCCGGGATTCGCCCCGTTGTCGCCCGTCGCCGCGCCGTTGCCGCGTCGTAGCCGCCTCGTGCGCTGTTTGGGTATGCCGATGATTCACCCCGTGGCCCCCCGTGGGAGAATTCGCGACGTTGCCTCTCGTTGCCGCGTCGTTGCCGTCTCGTGCGCTGTTTGTGGGTATGCCGAAGAGGCGGCACTTGGCCACCCGTTGCTACCTGTTACCGCGTCGAGCGCTGTGTGGGTACGCAGTGTATCCTCCTTGGTGCCGCCCGATGCCGCCCGTGTGGGTAACTTGGCTCGGGATTCGCCACGTTGCCGCCCGCTGCCGCGTCGTTGCCGCTTCCCGCGCTGCGGTGGTGTTCCGAGCTTTCGCCACGTTGCCGCACGTTGCCGCCCGTGGGGGGATGCCGAGGATTCGCCACGTTGTCGCCCGTTGCCACGTAGTTGCCTTACTTTATAAGTCCCGGCCGCGTGGCCTGTGGCCGATCTTACACCACATGGCTTGCACTTCGAGAGTTGAGAACTCCTGGTCTGGGGCCCACACTGACAAAAATTAACTCCTGGGGGTCTGCCTAAACAACCGTTCCCGGCTCCAGGGGCTGCTGGGACGGGTCGGGTCGAGCCAGGGCGAGAGCCACCGCCCCCCTCTCCCACCCAACCCGTGCCCGCAGGCTTTTGCAGTTCTCTCGATAAGATGTCGAAGTGCTGCCGAGTCCTTGCTGCATAACACTCACGCAGGGGAATTACGCATACGCTCTACACTGCACCTTAGCGGGCGCATTGACGTTGACCCCCATCATGCGGATGTCCTGTCCTCGTTCCTCCTGGAGAGGCTTGCTTCGGCCTGAACGGTCGAAGGACCGGGTGAAGACCCGGCGCGTGGAGTGGCCATCTCCGCGCCCATTGTGCCCCCGTTCCCGTGGCCAGTAGAGCGCACTTCGCGTTCCCACTGCGTCTGCCGCAGGGCCCCACTCGCAGCCCCACCACTTCTCTTTTTTCCTCCCTCTATTGCGAAGGCCTTGCGGCCGGTGCCGCCGACCCTGAATGGCGACGACGACGACGACGACGACGACGACGACGACGACGACGAGCGCTCTTGGGGGCCTCTTGGGGGTAGTTTGTGGGCCTCTTGGGAAGCTCTTAGGGGCCGCTTGGAAGCCTCGTGGGGGCCTCTTGGGGCTTCCGGGGGGTCTCTTGGAGGGGGCCTGGGACGTCTTGGAGGCTTCTTGGACGGTCTTGGAGCTATCTTGGGCGTTTTCGGCCGATCTTTTGGCGACTCGGGGCCCTCTTGGGCCGTCTCGGGGGCCATATTGGGCATTCGGACCTCATTTGGAGTGTTTTCGAGGTTTCTAGGCCGCCCGAGGAAAAACGAATCTGCCCCCCCACCCCTCCCGGGACCCCCCCCCCCTCCCCCCCGGGACCCCCCCCCCTGGGGAAGGGATCAAAGGGAAGGGGCTTCCCTTCGACTCGATTACGAAACTGCTAGATTTTTCTCTCGCTCACGAGTTTGAGAAAGAAGCTGCAGGGAAAGGGGACGACGGAGGCGACGACCGACGGAGACGACGACTCGAACAGCCAAGCCCCTCGCACACGCCGACAGGGTCGGCGGATTTGTCCCGCTGTCCTCCCCCATCTCCCGCCTCACTCTTGCCCCTTCCTCGTCTCCCCCTTTCATCTCTTCTTCTCCCCCTTCCCATGTCCTTGCCTCCTGGTCTCCCCCTCCCATGCTAGATTCGAGTGCGAGCTTGGGAGGGGTCTGGGCGACACGGCGAGATTCCCCCACTGGTCGCCACATTGGTCGCTGCTGGCTTCAGCAGTCTCGGAGGGAAGCCATGCCAAGCTCAGCTCCCACCCCCTCGGCGCAGGCTGCGTCCCGGCCCACGTGGGGCTTTTCAGCACCTACGAGTTCGCAAAGAGCGCCCTCCTGGACGCCGACAGCGCCGAACATCAGCCCGCGCGTGCTGCCGCCTGTGGCGCTGCCGCCACCCTGGCGCTCCCGCGGCGGGCGGCGACGGCGGCACCGGCGACGGCTTCGGCGGCGACGACGACGTCGACGACGACAACGACGACGAGAACGACGGTGTCGGCGGCGGCGGCGATGACGACGACAACGGCGGCGGCGGCGTTGGCGGCGGCGGCGGCGGCGACGACGACGGCGACGGCGCCGGCGCTGGCGCCGGTGACGATGACGTCGTCGACGACGGCGACGTGGACGACGACGACAACGACGACGACGACGACGACGACGACGACGACGACGACGACGACGGTGGCGGCGGCGGCGGCGGCGGCAGCGGCGGCGACGGCGACAACGACGACGTCTGCGACAATATAGGCGTGGGCGACGACGACGACGACGTCGACGGCGACGACGACGACGGCGGCGGAGGCGGCAACGGTGACGACGACTGCGGCGCCGGCGACTGCGGGGCAGGCGGCGGCAACGGCGACGACGACGACGATGACGACGACGACGATGACGAAAACGACGACGACGACGACGACGACGGAGGCGGCGGTGGCGACGGCGACGACGACGACGGCGACAACGACGACTGCGGCGACGGCGGCGGAGACGACGACATCGTCGACGACGACGACGACACTTGCGGCGACGACGGCGACGAGGACGGTGGCGGCGGCGGCGACGACGACGACGACTATGACCACGACGAAACGTCGACGACGAGGACGACGTGGACGACGACAACGGCGAAAGCGACGACGACGACGACGACGACGACGACTGCGGCGCCGGCGGCGATAACAATGGCGGCAACGACGATGACAACGTCGACGACGGCGACGATGACAACGAATCCACGACGACGACGATGACGCGACAACGACGAAGACTCCGGCGCCAGCGGCGAGGACGACGACGACGATGACGACGACGATAGCGACGATGACGACGACGACGACGACGGCGGCGTTGACGACGACGACGACGACGACGACGACGACGACGACGACGACGACGACGACGACGACGGTGGCTGCGGCGAAGGCGCCGGCGGCGACGACGAGAGCGACGGCGCCGGCGACGACGACGACGACGACGACGACGCAGTCAACGACGACGCCGATGACGACGGCGACGACGACGACGAAACGACGACGACGACCACCACGACGACGACGACGGCGGCGGTGGCGGCGATGACGACGACGACGCAGTCAACGACGACGCCGATGACGACGGCGACGACGACGAAACGACGACGACGACCACCACGACGACGACGACGGCGGCGGCGGCGATGACGACGACGACGACGATGACGACGACGACGACGACAGCGATCACGACCACGACGACGACGACGAATGCGGCGCCGCTGGTGATGACGACGACGGCAACGACGGCGTCGACGACGACGGCGACGATGACGACGAAACGACGAGACGACGACAACGACGGCGTCGACGACGACGGCGACGATGACGACGAAACGACGAGACGACGACAACGACGGCGTCGACGAGGACGCCGACGATGACGACGAAACGACGAGACGACGACGACGACGATGACGTCGACGTCGACGACGACGACGAAACAACGACTTGAGTTCGCAAAGAGCGCCCTTCTGGACGCCGCATACGTCGAACATCAGCCCGCGCGCGCCGCCGCTTGTGGCGCTACCGCCACCCTTGCGCTCCGTCGGCGCGCGGCGGCGGCAATGAGGAGGACGGCGGCGGTGGCGACGACTTCGACGACTAGGACGGCGGCGGCGTCGACTACGACGGCGACGAGGACGACGACGGCGGCGGCGGCGGTGGAGACGACAACGACGACGACGACGACGACGACGACGACGACGACGACGACAACGACGACGACGACGACGACGACGACGACGACGACGACGACGACGACGACGACGACGACGACGACGACGACGACGACGACGACGACGACGACTACGGCACCGGAGGCGAGGGCGACGACGACGATGACGACGATGACGACGACGACGACGACTGCGGCACCGGAGGCGAGGGCGACGACGACGACGACGACGACGGCGCTGGCGACGGAGACGACGACGACGACGACGACGACGACGACGACGACGACGACGACGACGACGTCTGCGGCGCCCGCGGCGATTGCGGATTTCTGGCCTTACCTTGGCCTTTGGGGGCGCCCCCTCGGCCAGGGCCAGATCATCCTCGGGAACCCAGTCCGGGCGCACCCCAGAACAGAGTGTTTGGCGGCGCGCAGAGGTGGGCAGGAGGAGGGGGGAAGGCTTCTTAGAAGGGGGCTGGTTCTTAGAAGGCGCGGTCCTTCTCTGTAGATGCAACGCCCGCGGCTTTTAAGAAGCGACCCCTTCTAAGAAGTCTTCCCGCCCTCCCCCTACCTTCCTGTGCGCGCCGCCAAGTTGTGGAGGTCGCTTCCTGGAGAGGAGGGCCTTCAAATGCAAGCCAGGGCTGGACCTAAACGGTGTTTTGGCGATTTCGTGGGCCGTTTTCGTTTCGACTTCGTTTTGCGGTAGAGGTGGATTGAAGACAAAACGAGGGAAAATGAAAATACAACGAAAACGAAAAACACCGTTTAGGTTCAGCCCTGATGCAAGCACGGCGGGCGTGGATGACCCTTCTTCTTGGCCTCCCGGAGGCCCGCGCTGTGCCCCGGGACCGTCCGCAAGCGGCCGGGGGCGAGAACTTTGTCCCGGGAGTCGACCACAAGAAGCGCCTTCTCAGAAGCACCCTTGCTTCTTAGAAGGCGCGTGCCTTGTCTGTAGATTTGTGGAAGTCGATTAAGGGAGAGGAATCATGCTGCCTAATAATTTCCAAATGTCTAACAGATGTTTCAAATATGTTCTAATTATGTTAAAAACATGTTTGAAACATGCTTATAACATGCGTTACACAGTTTGAACACATCTTTAATTCAATGATAGGACTGTTAGAGTGTCCACTGTCATGGCATCCGCAACTGTAGATGTAAGGCCAGCGCCTTCTAAGAAGCAGCCTCCCTCCAAGAAACCTTCCCCCCTCCCCCTGCCCTCTTGTGCGCGCCACCACGGGAGGGTCAAGCCACGGAGGCATAGGCAGGCGACAAGGTTGGCCAGAGAGGTCCAGTTACGATCAGGACATCGCTTCAGGACTCGCTGCGCGCACATTCGCAAAAGCACCCTAGGCGAAGTCGAGGGAGGGAGTAATCCAAGAAACACTCAGGAGGGGGCAACAAAAACACACAGACACAATTAATGGTCGATTCCCCAGGAAATATACGAAAATATTGCTAGTGGGGGGGAAGACAAAACCCAGAAAATAGGGGAAAATGGTGGGGGTCCTATTATTCGTGTGTATTTATCCGTAAGGGCTTCGCGCCAGGCCGCCGGCCGCCTTCCTCGGATAATGGGAGATGGAAAAGCTAAATCATGAGGTCTGGGCGCCGCCGTGAAGCAGTGTCGGGACCTGTTTGTTTTTCGACCCTGGCTCCGCCTATTTGCGTGAGGGGCGCAACCGAATTTCAGGAATGTTGCAAATCCCATCTGTTTTGGGACCCTGACCCCGCCGATCTGCGTGAGGGTGTGTTGCCGAATTTCAGAAATTAGACCCTGACCCCGCCGATCTGCGTGATGGGTGCCACCGAATTTCAGAAATGTGGCAAATCCCTTGTGTTTTTAGACCCTGACCCCGCCGATCTGCGTGAGGGGTGCGACCGAATTTCAAAAATGTGGCAAATCCTGTTTGTTTTTGGACCCTGACCCTGTCGATCATGGTGAGGGGTGCCACCGAATTTCAGAAATGTTTAGAATCCCTTGGGTTTTCGGACCCTGACCCCGCCGATCTGCGTGAGGGATGCCATCGAATTTCAAACATGTGGCAAATCCTCTTTGTTTTTGGACCCTGACCCCGCCGATCTGCGTGAGGGGTGCCACCGGATTTCAGAAATGTGGCACATCCCTTGGGTTTTCGGACCCTGACCCCGCCGATCTCCGTGAGGGGTGCGACCGGATTTCAAAAATGTGGCAAATCCTGTTTGTTTTTGGACCCTGACCCCACCGATCTGCGTGAGGGGTGCCACCGAATGTCAGAAATGTAGCAAATCCAATATTTTTTTGGACCCTGACCCCGCCGATCTGCATGAGAGGTGCCACCGAATGTCAGAAATGTAGCACATCCCATGTGTTTTTGGACCCTGGCCCCGCCGATCTGCGTGAGAGGTACCACCGAATTTCAGAAATGTAGCAGTAGCAAATCCCATGTGTTTTGGACCCTGACCCCGCCGATCTGCGTGAGGGGTGTTAATTTTTACCCACCCCAGCAATTCAGAGCACACGCTCAGGCCGTGCTAAACCTGCCCGTTTGGGCCTTCCCCCCCTCGCGCGGTCCATCAACAAGGAACAGTAAGTAGCAAGAAGCAGAACCGGAACAGTGGAAACTGGAAGCTGCAACTGGCACAGGAAACTGCGAACCTTCGGCCTACAGCCTGGTTGCCCCACAAGGGGGCCGGCGGATTTGTGTGTCCCAGGGCCTCTTAAGAAACGTGAGTTTCGACGTCTTGTAGGGCGATGAGGGTGGCAGTGGCTGGGCAAGGACATTTGTGTTTTCCCCTCTGGCGAAAACAGGCGTTACCCCGGATGGAGAGGAGGGAGTGGGCCAGAATCGGCGGGCCGGACGAAAGGGGGGGATTGGGAAAGGGGGGTTACGAAATCTGCGGCGCATGCAGCTGGTTTAGGCCCCGCCGAGGGGCCCATTCCTCGATCCATGGGCGCTTCCCGGCGCCAGGAGGCGCGAGTCGTGCACCTAACCTCAGGAAGGCATTAAGAACCCCCCCCCCCCCTTTTCCGGTGGATTATAACGCCCCCGCACCCTGGAGCGTTATGGCCGCACCGGTGCATTATAACGCCCTCACATTCAGAGACAATCTGAGTGCACGCCTCGCTGTCTTTGGAATTTCCGCGCCACGCGGTGCTAAGATAACGCCTCGGTGCGGGCGGGGCGATACCCTCGGATGGACTCCCCCTTAGGACGGCCGGGAAACATCGATTTCTGTAAAGGAATTGTAATAGGAAACGCATTGTAATCGTCGTCGTCGTCGTCGTCGTCGTCGTCGTGTTCGTGCTCGTATTCGTATTCTTACTCTTATTCGTGTTCTTACTCGTATTCTTACTCGTATTCGTATCGCGTTCTTATTCCTATTCGCATTATTATTCTTACTCGTATTCCCATTCGTACTCGTATTCCTATTCGCATTCTTATTCTTACTCTTATTCGTATTCCTCCGCCGATGGTGGATTTTGTTTTCTGTGTGCGGCGGGTGCTAAGTGCATCGTTCGGCTAAAACTGCCCGCCTGGAATATTGAGAAAGCCGGGTGCTAAGAATAACCCAGGGGGGTTTCTTAATGCCTTCCTGAGGTTACCAGGAGGGGAGAAACACACAGACATAATTAACCGTCGATTCCTATGAAAATATTGGAAAATAAGGGGTATCCTTTGATTTGTGTGTGTTTATTTGTGTGTCCCAGGGCCCCTTCAACCTACCAGGGCGGTTCGGGGGGGCGTGCCCGGCGACGTGCGGTGGGGCAGACGGAGCGAGCTCCAGGAAGTGCCTCGCGCGGGTCTGGGCGGACGCGTGTCTTCCGCGGGCAGGCCTGGTCGCCAACAGGCGTCCGCTCGATCTTGCTCCCATGCTTCTCCTCGCCATCATCACTCGGAGGTGGATAGACCTCCTACCCTGACACGTCGATTAGTAAATTGGCCGTTTTCGGTTCGCGAGAGGGCGTCGCGGCCGTCATTTTTGCGGGTCCAGGTCCGTCGGTTTCGGTCCCAGGCCGCTTTCATTAAGCGGAGGTTTGCTAAAGGGAGATTTGTCCAACGCCGACTCACCATCGTCTCGTCAAGTCTTCGTACGTCGAAGCTCGCCCCCACGCAGGTGCACGACGTCATCCTGACGCCCTGCGACGTGGTGAAGCAGCGCCTGCAGCAGGGCCGGTTTGCCGGGCAACCCAAGGCAAGACCCAGAGAGGAGGGTAGGGAGTAACGTTCGGTCGGGCACGTCCCTCTACATGAGGAAGATTCAAACCTAGTCAAAAAATAGTGTGTGGACGTTTTTGTTCTTATGATTTGCTGCGGTAGTGTTCGAGTATGTTTGATGTTTGGGGGGTCTCAAATTCTTTACGCTTCGCGTATCCCCACCAGCCCATCTCACAGCAGCAACTCTCGCGAAGCATGCCGACAGTCGTGTTTTCCAGGCGTGTGTCCGCTTGGCCCCGCATATCTCCCCTGTTCCTCTTTCCTCCCGCCTCCTTGTACATCCTCCTTGTGAGGGGAGCGGGAGAAGGACGAGGCGGAGGAGGAGGGAGAGAAAGCGCTCCTCGTGATTTGAGTCGTTTGGGGTTTCTCGTCCTGGTGTGAGTCGTTCGGGCCCTTCTTCCTGGTGTGAGTCGTTCGGGCTCTTCGTGGTGTGAGTCGTTCGGGCTCTTCGTCCTGGTGTGAGTCGTTCGGGCTTCTCGTGGTGTGAGTTGTTCGGGCCCCTCATCCTGGTGTGAGTCGTTCGGGCCCCTCCTCCTGGTGTGACTCGTTCGGGCTCCTCGTGGTGTGAGTCGTTCGGGGCCCGCGTCGTGGTGTGAGTCGTTCGGGCTCCTCGTGGTGTGAGTCGTTCGGGCGCCTCGTCCTGGTGTGAGTCGTTCGGGCCCCTCCTTGTGGTGTGAGTCGTTCGGGCTCTTCGTGGTGTGAGTCGTTCGGGCCCCTCGTCCTGGTGTGAGTCGTTCGGGCTCCTCGTGGGGCCTCTTGGGGGCCTCTTGGAGCCTCGTGGGGCCTCTTGGGGGCCTCTTGGGGGCCTCTTGGGGGCCTCTTGGGGGCCTCGTGGACCCTCTTGGGGGCCTCTTGGGGGCCTCTTGGGGGCCTCTGGGCGGCCTCTTGGGGCCTCGTGGGGCCTCTTGGGGGCCTCTTGGGGGCCTCTTGGGGGCCTCTTGGGGCCGCTTGTGGGCCTCCTGGGGGGCCTCTTGGAGGCCTCTTGGGAGCCTCCTGGGGGCGTCTTGGGGCCATCTTGGGGCCTCTTGCGACCTCCTCAGAAGCGCAAATGAGAGCTGCCCCCCTGAGAAGAACAAAATGAGCCCAAAACCTTCGTAAAATGAATGATTTTGCTATGAGGGAAGATGAGCGCGGCCCCCTCAGAAGGCCAGAATGGGGCCAAAACCATAGTAAAATCAATGATTTCTGCTTCAAAGACGAGTTCAGGGGCCAAACTACCTCCCCCCCTCGGGACCAGAATCCTCGTGAGGGTAGTCGTTTTTTTGCCCTCCGATGAGTCGAAATGGACCCCCCTGATCCCACTCGGCCCGCCCTCTCCAGGTCCAGGGGAGGGGGTAGGGGGAGGGGTAAACCCCTCCCCGAAGGGGAAGATAGGGTGTTAGGGGGTTGAGAACAGAGAGAGCTTTCTAGACCACTCACCCCCAAAGGGCTGGTGGGATTCTAGTAGTAGTAGGATTAGTTCGTGTGGTAGTAGGAGGAGTCGCAGTATGAGTAGTAGTAATAGTCGTGGTCATAGTAGTAGGAGCAGGTATAGGTGCAGCAGATGGAGTGGTGACATGAGTACGTCGAGGTGTCGTAGTAGTAGCTCCAGATATAGTAGAAGTAGAAATCGTCGTAGTACCAGTAACAATACCAGTAGTAGTACACGTACAAGTAGTAGTAGTAGTAGTAGTAGTAGTAGTAGTAGTAGTAGTAGTAGTAGTAGTAGTAGTAGTTAGTAGTAGTAGTAGTAGTAGTAGTAGTAGTAGTAGTAGTAGTAGTAGTAGTAGTAGTAGTAGTAGTAGGAGTAGGAGTAGTAGGAGTAGGAGTAGTAGGAGTAGTAGGAGTAGGAGTAGTAGGAGTAGGAGTAGTAGTAGGAGTAGTAGTAGTAGTAGTAGTAGTAGTAGTAGTAGTAGTAGAGTAGTAGTAGTAGGTAGTAGTAGAGTAGGAGTAGGAGTAGGTAGTAGTAGTAGGAGTAGGAGTAGGAGTAGGAGTAGGAGTAGGAGTAGGAATAGGAGTAGTAGAGTAGTAGTAGTAGTAGTAGTAGTAGTAGTAGTAGTAGTAGTAGTAGTAGTAGTAGTAGTAGTAGTAGTAGTAGTAGTAGTAGTAGTAGTAGTAGTAGTAGTAGTAGTAGTAGTAGTAGTAGTAGTAGTAGTAGTAGTAGTAGTAGTAGTAGTAGTAGTAGTAGTAGTAGTAGCAGTAGTACGAGTAGTGGTAGTGGTAGTAGGAGAAGCAGTACGAGGAATAGCACTAGCAGTAGCAGTACCAGTAGCAGTAGCAGTAGCAGTCGTTCGGGATAATCGTGGTGTGAGTCGTTCGGGCCCCTCGTCCTGGTGTGAGTCGTTCTAGCAGTAGCAGTACCAGTAGCAGTAGCAGTAGCAGTCGTTTGGGCTAATCGTGGTGTGAGTCGTTCGGGCCCCTCGTCCTGGTGTGAGTCGTTCGGGCTCCTCGTGGGGCCTCTTGGGGGACTCTGGGAGCCTCTTGGGGCCTCTTGGGAGCCTCTTGGGAGCCTCTGGGCGGCCTCTTGGGGGCTTCTTGGGGCCTCTTGGGGCCTCTGGGGGGCATCTTGGGGGCCTCTTGGCGGCCTCTTGGGACCGCTGGGGCGCCTCTGGGGGGCCTCTAGGACGCCTCTTGGGAGCCTCCTGGGAGCCTCTGGAGGCCATCTTGGGGCCTCTTGCGACCTCCTCGGAAGCGCCAATGAGAGCTGCCCCCTGAAAAGAACAAAATGAGCCCAAAACCTTCGTAAAAGCAATGATTTTGCTATGAAGGACGATGAGCGCGGCCCCCTCAGAGCGCCAAAATGAGGCCAAAACCGTAGTAAACTTAATGATTCTGGCTTTCAAGAAGAGCAGAGGGGCCAAAGTGGTTCCCCCCGTCGGGGCCAGAATCCTCGTGAGGGTCGTCGTTTTTTGGCCCTTCCAGGAGTCAAAAAAGACCCCCCTGACCACGCTCGGCCCGCCCTCTCCAGGTCCAGGGGGAGGGGGTAGGGGGAGGGGTAAACCCCTCCCCGAAGGGGAAGAAGGGGGGTTGGGGGGTTGAGGACAGAGAAAGCTCGCTAAACCATTCACGCCCAAAGGGCTGGTGGGATTTTTCTTCCCAGATCCGCTGGTAGGGGGACGTACCGGATCTAAGAGTCATGGAGCCATGCCGACGTGGCGCAAGCGATCCGTGAGCGCCCGCCACGAGAGCAGCGGAGGCGCGCACACGCGATCCCGCGCCTGCCTGCACGGTCACGGAAGCTGCGGCCAGAGCCACGCACCCGGGGGCCAGGTCAAGACGGAGGAGATCCGTGCGCGATCAGACCCCAGACTCGGGCCGAACGAAAGGGGGGGATTGGGAAAGGGGGGGTTACGAAATCTGCTGCATGCAGCTGGTTTCGGCCCCGCCGCCGGGCCCATTCCTCGATACATGGGCGCCTCTGGCGCCGCGAGGCGCCGGGAGAATCAGCTACGCGAGCTGATTCTCAAACCCCCCTTTTGCTATCCCCCCCTTTTGCCCGACCCGACCCTTCGCTCCCGCCGCGCCCGGGTCGTGGGCGCGCGGCAGGCCAACGGGCAGCAGATGGGGCCGCGCTGCGCGCGCCCCGCAGAACGCGCTCCAACGCTCACGGGCCTGGTGTCCTGGGCCGACCTCCCAGCTTGGCATCGCTCGGACGTGTGCATTCTTTTCTCGGCGAGGACCATCGAGGAGCATCCTTGATCATTCGGCGAAAAAAATCCACGCACGAAACCGAAAAAAAAACACAGGGAATGGACGTCCGAGCGATGGCAAGCCCAGGGGTCACACGCTCGGGAGGCGAGGGAGGTCAAGGAGGATGGAGTGCTGGCCTGTCTCCAGCAGGCTCGACACCCTGGGGCACCATTCGAGTAAGCCACGCACGAAGTCGTGATCCGTCGGTCGCCCCGCCCGTCTCGCCCGTTCGGGCTTCGGGCCGATCGGGATCACTCGCACGAAAGGCGTGGCGAGCTTCGAAACGCGCTCGGCAGCGAAGGCCATTCAGTGCATCCTCGCCTTAGCCTGCTCAAACTCTATTTATGGGTACGTGTGACACTGGCCGATCCGCTGAGCTCCTGCGCGGCGATCTTAAGGAAGATGTCGGCCCACATGTTCCCGAAGAGGTTGTTAGTCGGCTCCCCTGCAGCCACGCACGTCTTCAGACCCTCATCACCAGACCTGTGGGCACGGGTCCAGACGAAGTGGGGGAGAGGCATCGTTCCTATACAAAGCACACATTTGCCGCCGAACTGAAGCATGCGGCGCAAGCGCTCGCACATGCTTCCAAAGCCAGATCGATCCCTTGGTCTGGAGGGCCAGGTAGTCTTTCACGTGCTCCAACGGTCGAGCGGCGATCTCGAGGGCCCGATGAGCCGCGACACGCTCGGCCCCAGGCACGGACTGAACGGACGACAGGTCCACGACGGCACAACCGCAACGTCGGGCCTCGGGAAAACCGTTTTCAAAACAAGACACGCCACCAAACAATGGATTGTCCCCGGGAAGCAAGGTCGACACCCATTCTTGCACAGGCATCTGCCCAGGCTCCTCAAGCCGAAGAGCCGGCCTCAGAGGCATGGCGTAGAGCACGCCCACGGGCGGGAGGTTCGGCTCCTCGCCAACGCTTCGCTGCTCCTGGCTCCAGACGTCCCTCCTCGCCCGCAGAGTGTCGTCGGGGTACCGGTTCTGCTCCTCACCTTCCCGGCCTCGCGCACAGAACAGGAGAACAGTTCATGCTCCAAGTCAGCGTGCTCGTGGCCGCAGTACTCACTTCACGACTTGTCAGTGTCTTGGCATCGCTCGGACGTGTGCATTTTTTCTCGGCGACGGCCATCGAGGACCATCATCGATCATTTGGCGAAAAAAAAACACGCACGAAATCGAAAAATACACGAGGAATGGACGTCCGAGCGATGGCGAGGTGTAGCCAGCCTCCTTGCGCCTCGCAGGCGCTCACATCCCACCTGACAGGAGCTCGGCCAGCGCGCTCCCCGCAGCCCTGCAGACAGCGGCTGCACGTGACCTTGGCATCGCTCGGACGTGTGCATTTTTTTCTCGGCGAGAACCATCGAGGACCATCCTAGACCATCGAGCAAAAAAAAACACGCACGAAACCGAACAATGCACGGGGAATGGACGCCCGAGCGACGGCAAGTGACCGTGCCTGAGAGCTCCCATCCCAACGCGTTTCCGCCGGCCGTCCTCGGCTCTCGGCGGAGCTTCGGGCAGGACGCGATGGGTTTGCCGGCTCTCGAGGCCGCAGATCATTAGAGGCTTCACCTCGCCGAGGTTGAGGCGCGGCAGGTTGACGTGCCGTCCAGGGTCGTCGGCGAGCGCGGTCGAGCTGAGCATGTCTCAGCCCACGCGCATCGGCGATCCAGCGCGATCTGGAGCACGATGTTTGTCTTCTTACTATTACTACTATCATTATTATCAATATTATTATTATCATTATTATTAGTAGTATTATTATTAGTATTATTATCATTATTATTAGCATTATTATTATTATTATTATTATTCCGACATCGCCGATGCATCGGCGACGCGTCGCGATCTACGGGCCCCATGTATTGTTATGTCATGTGGGAGGCGTCCAGGTGGGGCATGGGGCAGGAGGGGGGAGGAGGAGGGAGGAGGGTAGATAGGAAAGGGGAAGGGAGGAGGAGGAGGATGGGGGATACGGGAGTGGGAGGATGAGGGAGGCGAGATGTGGAGGGGGCAAAGGGGCGGGAGAACGCGAGCGCCTGGGCTGGGGGGTGCCATTTGGGCATAAGGTGGCCGGAGGGTGGTAGCAGGGAGGAGCGGAGGGAGGCGGGGGATGGAAGGGCTTGCGGAGGACGAGGAGAGGATCAAACACATCATTGACGAATCTCAGAAACATCATCAAAAACATCAAGAATATCAAACACATGAAATGTAATAGGCGAAGAACGAACGGCACAAGTCAGGGGGGGAAGAAGCACACAGACACAATTAATCGTCGACCCCCAGGAAAATATGGGAAACTATGGGAAGTGGTGGGGAAGACATGAATTCAGAAAAGATTGGAAATTATTGGGAATAATGTTATCTGTGTGTATTTATTTGTGTGTTTGCGGGCCCCTTCAATCGCGAACATCATCGAAAACATCGAGAAGATCAAAAACATCAACGACGAGACATTCTCAAAAACATCAAGAAGATCAAAAACATCAAAAGGAATAGACGAAGAACGAATGGCACAAAAGCATCAGCGTTTGGAGGTCCGCGCGGGGTGCTCGGATCGGCCCTGGGTCCTCCCGGAGCGGCGCCTGCGGCGCCGCTCCGGGCGCACACGCGCGCGCGCCGGGGAGGGGGGGCCCACGCCGGCCCCTCGGCATCGCTCGGACGCGTGCATTTTTTTCTCGGCGAGGACCATCGAGGAGCATCCTTGATCATTCGACGAAAAACCCACGCACGAAACCGAAAAAAGCACAGGGAATGGACGGCCGAGCGATGGCAAGGTCCAGTGTTACGTCGGGCGTGTCCCCCCACAGGGGGATTTTCGACGAAAAAGATAAAAATACCCAAAACTATTCCAAACAGAACAAGACACTCAAAGAATAGTCCCCAGACAATGTTTGGAGCATTTTTTTATTATTTTGGATGTATTTTTATATTTCGTCGAAAATCCCCCTGTAGGGGGACAGGCCCGATTTAAGTCCAGTGTTACGCTTCTGTTGTTGAGATGCTTTTCCCTTTGGACGGGGACCCAAAGAATATACACCATCACCACGTCGATTCCTCCTCTCTCCTCTACCCTCCTCTTTCCTTTCCTCTCTCCTGGGGGAGGGAGGGGGTGAGGGAGGCGGTGCTGGTGTATATTTTTGGGCCCCCCATTTGGAGAGAGAAGGGCGCAATCAGGGGCAGCGGTGAGGGAACGTGACGAAAGGCACTCTGTTGGTGTTTTGTCGGATCGAGCGCGGGAACCGCCCAGGTACGCCGGCGCGCTGGACTGCGTGTCGAAGACGCTTGGACACGAGGTCCCTCCCTTCCCCTTATCCCATCCTTCCTCCTGCTAGGTTCTCCTCTCTGCTCTTATTCCCCCTTCCCTCCCCTCCTCCGTCTCCCTCCCTCCTCTCTGTCCCATATGTCTTCCTCGCGTTAACCTCGTCCCTCTGTTGACCATCTCCCCGCCTCTGCTTCGTATTCCTGATCCTCTTCGTGCTCGTGCTGCTGCTTCTGACATTCCCCTTTTTGGAGAGGCCTGACGGCCCGTGCCGCCGACCCTGATCGAAGGGGCTAGGAGGGGGAGGAGGAAGCGAAGATGATTATGATGATGATGATGATGATGATGATGATGCTGATGCTGATGCTGATGCTGATGCTGATGATGATGCTGATGCTGATGCTGATGCTGATGCTGATGCTGATGCTGATGATGATGATGATGATGATGTTGATGATGATGATGATGATGTTGTTGTTGATGATGATGATGATGATGATGATGATGATGATGATGATGATGATGATGATGATGATGATGATGATGATGATGATGATGAAAATGATGATGATGATGCTGATGAGTAGGAGGGAGAGAAGGAGGAGAGGGGAGGAGGAGCAGGAGGAGGAGGAGGAGGAGAAGGGGGAGGAGGATGAGGACGAGAACCTCCTCGCGACGCCCTCCGGGCTTTCTCGAAGGCTGCCGGGGGAGTCGGATCTGGGGGGGGGGGCCCCCGGGACTCCCCGGGACCCCCCTGGGACTGAGGATGTCTCAAACGAAAGCCATCCATGCACGAAAGTTCCGGGAGACGGAATGCCCGGCAGGGCTCGCCAGGGAGGGCCGGGCGCGCGATCTTTCTACGGGGCGGCGCGGCGAGCGGCTCAAGGGCCCTAAATGGCAGCGGCCAGCAGCAGTGCAGCAGCAGGAGGGGGGAGGAGGAGAGAAGACCAAAAAGGAGGGACATAATGGACAGGAAGAGGAATGATGTCGTTTCACAGGGACCCCCCCGGACCCCCCCGGGTCCGGCCCCCCGCCGAACCGGGGAAGGGAAAAGGGAAGGGGCTTCCCTTCGAAGTATTGACGACGTTCAATCAATTGCTTGGCACGGCATGTGCAAGGAAGAGGACTCTGCTGACGGAGAGCGGGAGAACTGTGAGTGGAAGTTGGATGCGGTTAGAGAAAGTTGAGCAGGAAAGAAAGCACGACGCGAACGGAGAAGCCCCTCACACACGCCGACAGGGTCGGCGGATTTGTGCATATCCTCTTTCTGAGACCCCTGCACCTCCGCTGTTCATGCCCCACTCATCGTCCTTGTCATCCTCCTCCCTGTCCCCCTCTTTCTTCTACCATCCTCCTCATCCTCCATCTCCTCCTCAGGGTATGGGCGCGTTCTACCGCAGCCTCCCCACCACACTAGTCATGAACGTGCCCTACATGGGTATGTTGGTGGCCATGAACGAGTCTTTGAAGAAGGCGCTGCGCAAAATAATTGTTTGGCCATCAGCATGGGCCCCCCGTCCTCCTCTCTGACAGGAGCAGAATAACGACGGAAGGGGATGTAAGAGGTTTGGGCGGGAAGAGGTAGAAGAAGGCATGATAATGAGGAACATAAGGGGAAAGAGGAGGTAAAAGACGACGAGGAGAGGAGAGGAGAGCAGAGGAGGACGGGTAGAACGAGCGATGGAAAAGTGCGTCCAAACTGGCCGAACATACCCTGCAGGGAGGACGGATGAGCGTGGAGGGAGAAGGAGGGAGGGATAATAAATATTGAACGGGATGACAGATAAGGGAGGCGTGGACGGTTGGGAAAAGATGTAGGGAAGAGGGAAGAGGAGCACGTGGTGATGGAGAGGCAAGGGAGGTTAGCAGGAGGCAGTGGAAGGGAAGAGGGGAACGAGGAGGATTAGGGATTCGGAGAAGGAGGAACAGAGGAGGACGGGGAATGTGGGGAGGCAGGATGAATACGGAAGGGAGGAGGAGGAGGAGGAGGAGGAGGACGAGGAGGAGGAGGAAGCGGACGAGGAGGAGGAGGAGGAGGAGGAGGAGGAGGAGGAGGAGGAGGGAGGGGAGGGGGAGGGGGAGGAGGAGGAGGAGGAGGAGGAGGAGGAGGAGGAGGGGAGGAGGAGGAGGAGAGGAGGAGGAGGAGGAGGAGGAGGAGGAGGAGGAGGAGGAGGAGGAGGGAGGAGGAGGAGGAGGGAGGGGAGGGAGGGGGAGGGGAGGGGGAGGGGGAGGGGAGGAGGAGGAGGTGGAGGAGGAGAGGAGGAGGAGGAGGAGGAGGAGGACGACGAGGAGGAGGACGAGGACGAG